ACTGAGTCAGGGTAATGGTGCGGCGTGCTCTGTCCCGGGTGATCTGCAAGCCAAGGTAGCTGCGCAGTTCACCTAGGTCAGTGCACGTGTGTCTCTTCTGCAGCTCAGACTTCACGTAGGCGAGTCCAGTAGTGTCAGCTGTGGCAAAGACCAAGTCGTCGACGTACACGAGGATGTAGAACGGCGGCAGAGAAGTGTCGGTGCGCAGGAACAGCGACGGGTCGGCAGTAGACGGAGCGAACCCAAGAGCCGCAAGCGTAGTCCTCAGTGTGTCGTGCCACTCACGTGGTGTCTGGCGGAGACCGTAGACTGGACGCCGGAGACTCCACTGGGTACCAGGAGGGAAAGACCCAGTGAAGCCAGGTGGGCGGCGCAGCCAGATCTCCTCGTGCAGGCTGCCCTGCAGGAAAGATGTGCTGAAGTCGAGAGAGTGTAGCTCGTGGTCACGGTGAGCAGCAACGTGCAGCAGTACCCGAAGAGTGGTCATCTTCGGGGTGGGGGAGAAGGTCTGAAAGTAGTCAACTCCCTGCCGCTGACTGAAGCCACGAGCCACGTAACGCGCCTTGAAGACAGGCGGAGAACCCGGCGGCCGCTTCACCCTGAAGATCCACATGCCACTGACGATGTTCGCCCCAGGAGGGGGGACAGCGTCAACGTAGGTGCCTGTGGACTTCCAGGAAGCCATCTCTGCATCCATAGCTGCCTGCCACTGAGAGGAGTAGGGACCCTCTATCGCCTCCGCGTAAGAGCGCGGAGTCGGGATGTCAAGTGCATCCGGGTCTCCCTCAGGGGTAAGCAGTACGGACACGAGATGAGGTGAAGCAGCTGCCAGACACTGGAACTCCTCCTGCCTGTCCTCAAGGACGTCCGTGCCAAGGGCACACTCACCCCCGACGGACGGAGGACAGACAGACTCAGACTCAGCGACAAGACTAGCAGCGTAGTCTAGGCGACAGCGAGCAGCAAAGTCGACGAGCTCAGTGACGAGAGCATACGCAGCAGTAGACTCGAAAGAAGGGTCAGTGACAACAGTAGCAAGGAGACGCGTGATAGTAGGACTGGCAGCACGAAGAGAGTCCGACTCTGGGTCGGCGAGAGCAGGAAGAGAGGACGCAGGAGGAGAAGGCAAAGGGGCACGCAGAGGAGCAGTAGACGGACGTAGAGACATCCGGTGCGTGCCAGGGGCAGGAGGAGGACGCTGGCGCGAACTACGAGCACTAGCGCTAGCAGGACGGACAGGCGACGCAGGACGAGACGCAGACTCACGACGCTCAGTAAGACCGCCAGTAGGACCAGTGTAAGGAGAAGGAGCAGGTAGTGGGGAGGCCGGCTGCAACTGTAACTGTGACGGGACAGGTTGTGAACACGCTAAGGGAGGAGGACCAGGAGGAGGCGAGAGACCAAGAACCTGCTGAAGGAGCGGAACGAAGTACGGCTGAGGGCGCGCGGCGACTCCAGACACAGCAGGGACAGCACCTGTACCCCCAACGGCAGTACCAGAACCAGCAGCAGCTCCAACGCCCAGGTCCTCAGTACTAGCCTCAGCACCAACGCCCGAGTCCTCAGCACCAGCAGTGGCTCCAACACCAGGGTCCACAGCACCTGCCGCAGCTCCAACGCCCGGGTCCTCAGCACCAGCAGGGACTCCGACACCAGGGTCCACAGCACCAGTCGCAGCTCCAACGCCAGGGTCCGCAGCACCAGCCGCAGCCCCAACGCCCGGCCCCTCAGCACCAGCAGCACCTCCAACCCTCGGGTCCGCAGCACCAGCAGCAGCTCCAACGCCAGGGTCCGCAGCACCAGCAGCAGCTCCAACGCCCGGGTCCGTAGCACCAGAAGCACCTCCAACGCCCGGGTCCTCAGCACCAGCAGCACCTCCAACGCCAGGGTCCGCAGCACCAGCAGCAGCTCCAACGCCCGGGTCCATAGCACTAGGGGCAGCCGGGTCCGTGAGACGAGGCGCACCACTCCGAAGTGTGCAACGGCGCTCGTACCACTCACGGATCCGCTCACGAGAGGGGAGCTCCCGACTAGGAGGAGAAGTACCAGCCCCAGTCCCTGTAGTGCGCCTGGTCCCAGAGGTAACACTCTGGAGGCTGCAGTTTAGTAAGTACCACTCACGCAACTGGTCCGAGGAGAGGTCGCGTCCAGGTGTAGCACCCTCAGGCCCAGCACCGCAAGGCTCAGCACCCCCAGTCACCGCACCCCCAGGCTCAGCACCCCCAGGCTCAGTACCCCCAGTGTCCGCACCCCAAGGCTCAGCACCCCCAGAGTCCGCACCCCCAGGCTCAGCACCCCCAGAGTCAGCACCCCCAGACTCAGCACCCCCAGTCTCCGCACCCCCAGGCTCAGCATCCCCAGCAGGACGAGAGTCGACAGCAACCTCAACAGGCTCGACCGGGTCTACCTGAGACACACCTGAGGGAGCGGCACCCTGAGGGGGGAGGGGGTCTACGACAGCAGCACCTGGCGCGAGGAAGAGAGGCGGGGGTTGGAGCGGGGCAGTGCGGTAGGGAAAGAGGCGGTAGTAGGGGACAGACTCGTCAAAAGTGACGTCCTGAGAGGGCAAGACCCGGCGCGAGGTGGCGTGGTAAAACTGCCAACCAGGCGCGTCCGGAACAAAGCCGAGGAAGACGCAGGGAACAGCACGGGAGGAGAGCTTGTCCGCAGACGAATCGCGGACAAAAGCTCGAGATCCCCAGACCCAGAAACGTGACGCATCGCCAACCTCCCCCGTCCACAGCAGTGTGGGCGAGGTCTCCGGCAAGGAGACACGGGGCCAGAGGTTGAGCTGATGCGCAGCGTACCGGACCGCAAACGGCCACAGAAAGTGGGGGGCAGCCGCATGGATCAAGGACGTACGGGCCACCTCCATGACCAGGCCAATGCGGCGCTCCGCAACCCCATTCTGCTGTGGAGAAGCTGGAAGCGTGAACGACTGCTCAATGCCGTGCTCAGCACAGTAGGCTGCCAAGAGGTCGGAGGAGAACTCACCACCTCTGTCAGAGTGCAAGCGCAGGACAGGAAAGTCCGAGTGAAAACGCTCGCTGAGCTGGAGACGGGCTCTGCGGATCCAAGGGATCAAGACATCAGGGACCTCACCCTTGGTGCGCAAGGGGAAGACCGAGGTGTAGCGCGAGTAGTCGTCAACAACTATCAGGAAGTACCTCTCCTGACCCTGACCACGGACGCGGGCTGGGCCCCACACGTCCATGTGGAGTGTCTGCAAGGGAGCAGTCGTCGGGGGGAACGAGGAGTGAGGAGCGGGCGCTGCCGTCCCTCGACACAGGGGAGACAGGTAGGAGCAGGTGAGGGTGGGAGGGCAGGAAGGACCCTGGGCAGGCCAGAGACAAGGTACCGGGAGTGCATGGCACGAAGCCGCTGCAGAGACGGGTGGCCAAGGCGGTGGTGCCAGAGGACAGTCTCGTGTGCCAAAGAGCGACACGAGCAGGGGGCGGACAGCTGACCTGACGCGGACGCGGACGCAGTCGCAGCAACCTGAGGGGACTCAGTAGTCAGTGTGTACAGGTCCGACCCCGGCTGCCGAGTGAAGGTAGCCAAGTGACGGCCCGTACGAGCACACGTGCAGTGTGTCACGCGCTCGTAGGCAGGGGTGAACTGGTTAACACCCCCGTCCTGGAGTGCACATCCTGCCACCAAGTTCGTAGAGAACGAGGGGAGGTGGAGACCTGACAGTGTGCCCGACGGGACCGCAGGGCAGGGAAGGACAGTGGAAGAGGTCGCAATGACCGGACCCCCAGAGGGGTCAGCAAGGGAGAACGCAACTGGCCGAGCAAGCGGCTCAAGGGCAGTGCGGTCACGAAAGAAGCAGCGAGAAGCACCTGAGTCCAGTGTGAAGGTGTGCATTGCGGCAGTCGACGCAGTACCAAGGGGGGGAGACACACGAGCACCTAGAGCAGCAGCCTCACCAGCACCTGGGGTAGCAGACACGCGAGTACCTGAAGCGGCAGACGCACTGGCCCCAATGCCCGGGTCGGGCAGCACACACAAGTACTCAGCACCCTCTCCACTAGTAGACATCACATACATGGCAGATAGAATAGCATCAAAGTCTTGAGCATAGATATCAATCCCCTTCTTCAGGAGATCAAGCCAGCGGGGCAGCTCAGTGGCCTGAGGGAACTGAACACGCCAAGCGTCGTCGAGACGAGAGAAACAGCGCTGTGTGGCGTGCGGTCGTTGTCAGAATCAGCGAACAGGAATGAATGAACTAGCAGTGAAATGAGTACAAGTAGGAAACCCTAGAATTGTGTACCCCCTATAGGCTAACCCACTGTAGCCTACACAAGTAGAACACATATAATGTTTGACACACCCCCATAGGCAAAGTGGGGGAGAACAAGGGGTCACAAGACCAGTCAAGCAAAGCAAAGCAAGCTCAGGGTGGATCACAAAGTCACCACACAGTCCGAGCACAAGAGCAAGGCCAGAGGCCAGTTCACATGCAGGAGTACAGACACATATATATATAAAACTAGACAAGCAAGAGCAGATATATATATATGTCACAGTACAAGTGAAGTCAAGAGGAGAGCAAGGGAGGCAAGACAGGCACAAGACCCAGCTGGGTGCAAAAGCGCTGATGGTCACAAGGCGCGAGTGCCTTGGTGAACACATCAGCAGTGTTGGCCTCAGAGGCCACGTACGCAAGTCGTAACTGACCACGCTGCTGCAGCTCACGAGCAAGGAAGTAGCGGAGAGCAATGTGCTTCGTTCTGTGCTCCAAGCGCTGCTCTCGACACAAGGCCAGCATGGCCTTGTTGTCTACGTACAGCACTGGAGGAGAACGAGGCGGCTCTCCAAGGTCAGTCAGCAGGTAGGTGAGCCAGCGAAGCTCCTGTGCAGCCATGGCCCCGGCGTAGATCTCAGCCTCACAACTGGAGCCGAGAACCGAAGACGAGCGAGTAGACCGCCACGAGACAGAGCCGGAACCAAGGCTGAAGGTGTAACCCTGTGACGACTGCTGCGTAGCCTGGTCGTCAGCCCAAGAAGCGTCCGCGTGGCCGGTAAGGACCACTGGACTCCGCCCTCCAAGCACTAGCCCCATGCCCGACGTACTGCACAGGTAGCGCAATACCCTCTTCGCTGCAGCCATGTGCTCCGGTCTGTGTCTCCCAGGAGCAACATAGCGTGCAAGAATGCTCAGAGGGTATGCAAGGTCAGGTCGTGTGCAGGTCATCAGGTACATGAGGCAGCCAACAAGCTCTGCATACGGACCACTCGACTCTACGGACTCATCCGAAGGCAGAGCTGAGAGTGAGTGGCGAGTAGGCAAAGGAGTGGCCTGAGGCGAGGAGTACGTAAAGCCGAAGCGCTGAAGGACCTGCTGCACCATGTGTGACTGAGTCAAGGTAATGGTGCGGCGTGCTCTGTCCCGAGTGATCTGCAAGCCAAGGTAGCTGCGCAGTTCACCCAGGTCAGTGCACGTGTGTCTCTTCAGCAGCTCGGACTTCACGTAGGCGAGTCCAGCAGTGTCCGCTGTGGCAAAGACCAAGTCGTCGATGTACACGAGGATGTAGAACGGCGGCAGGGAAGTGTCGGTGCGAAGAAACAGCGACGGGTCAGCAGTAGAAGGAGCAAACCCAAGAGCCGCAAGCGTAGTCCTCAGTGTGTCGTGCCACTCACGCGGTGCCTGGCGGAGACCGTAGACTGGCCGTCGGAGGCTCCACTGGGTGCCAGGAGGGAAAGTCCCAGTGAAGCCAGGTGGACGGCGAAGCCAGATCTCCTCGTGCAGGCTACCCTGCAAGAACGCAGTGCTGAAGTCGAGAGAGTGAAGCTCGTAGTCGCGCTGAGCGGCTATGTGCAGCAGCACCCGAAGAGTAGTCATCTTCGGGGTGGGAGAGAAGGTCTGAAAGTAGTCAACTCCCTGCCGCTGGCTGAAGCCACGAGCAACGTACCGTGCCTTGAAGACAGGTGGAGAGCCCGGCGGTCGCTTCACCCTGAAGATCCACATGCCACTGACGATGTTCGCCCCAGGAGGGGGAACCGCGTCAACGTAGGTGCCTGTGGACTTCCAGGAAGCCATCTCTGCATCCATAGCTGCCTGCCACTGAGAGGAGTAGGGACCCTCTACGGCCTCCGCGTAAGAACGCGGAGTCAGGATGTCTAGTGCATCCGGGTCTCCCTCAGGGGCAAGCAGAACAGACGCGAGATGAGGTGAAGCAGCCGCTAGACACTGTAACTCCTCCTGCCTGTCCTCTAGGACGTCCGTGCTAAGAGCACACTCACCCCCGACGGACGGAGGACAGACAGACGCAGACTCAGCAACAAGACTAGCAGCGTAGTCGAGACGACAGCGAGCAGCAAAGTCGACGAGCTCAGCGACTAGAGCAGACGCAGCAGTGGACTCAAAAGAGGGGTCAGTGACGACAGTAGCAAGCAGACGCGTGACAGTAGGGCTGGCAGCACGAAGAGAGTCCGACTCAGGGTCGGCAAGCGCAGGAAGAGAGGACTCAGGAGGAGAAGGCAAAGGGGCACGCAGAGGAGCAGTGGACGGACGCAAAGACATCCGGTGCGTGCCAGGGACAGGAGGAGGACGCTGACGCGAACTGCGACCACTAGCGCGAGCAGCACGAACAGGTGACGCGGGACGAGACGCAGGCTCACGACGCTCAGCAAGACCTCCAGTAGGACCAGTGTAAGGAGAGGGAGCAGGCAGTGGAGAGGAAGGCTCCAGCAGAGACTGCGACTGGACAGGCGGTGGACCCTCTAGTGGAGGAGAAAGACCAAGAACCTGCTGCAGGAGCGGAACGAAGGACGGCCGAGGCCGCGCGGCAGCTCCAGACGCAGCAGGGACAGCACCAGCACCCTCAGCGACAGCACCAGCGCCACCCACACCTCCAGCGGCAGGACCAACAGCAGTAGGCTCAGCACCAACGCCCTCAGCAGCTCCAGCTCCAGGAGGACCCGCAGGTCCAGCAGCTCCGGGACCGGCAGCACCCGCACCCTCGACGGTCGAAGAAGCTCCAGCTCCAGCTCCAGCAGCACCTCCAGACTCAGCAGCACGCCTCCAGCGGCGAGCGAACCACTCGCGCAGCTCCTGTGGAGAGAGGGGCTCCCGGCGAGACGCAGCAGCAGGAGAAACCCCAGGCTCAGCAGCTCCAGACGCAGCAGGGACAGCACCAGCACCCTCAGCGACAGCACCAGCGCCACCCACACCTCCATCGGCAGGACCAACAGCAGTAGGCTCAGCACCAACGCCCTCAGCAGCTCCAGCTCCAAGAGGACCCGCAGGTCCAGCAGCTCCGGGACCGGCAGCACCCGCACCCTCGACGGTCGAAGAAGCTCCAGCTCCAGCTCCAGCAGCACCTCCAGACTCAGCAGCACGCCTCCAGCGGCGAGCGAACCACTCGCGCAGCTCCTGTGGAGAGAGGGGCTCCCGGCGAGACGCAGCAGCAGGAGAAACCCCAGGCTCAGCAGCTCCCGACCCAGCACCCCCAGACCCAGCACCTCCAGGCCCAGCACCTCCAGGCACAGCACCCCCCGGCTCAGCACCCCCAGGCTCCGCACCCTCCGCAGTAGCACCCGCAGGCCCAGTACCCCCAGCAGTAGCACCCCCAGGCTCAGCACCCCCGCGCACAGCACCCCCAGAGTCAGCACCCTCAGGCTCAGCACCCGCAGCAGCACCAGAGTCACCTGTAACCTCGACCGGGTCAACGGCGTCTACCTGGGACACACCTGAGGGGGCAGGAACCTGAGGGGGGAGGGGGTCTACCGGGGGGGGAACCGGCACAAGGAAGTCCGGGGGAGGGGGGAGGGAAGGAGTGCGGTAGGGGAAGAGACGGTAGAAGGGGACTGACTCGTCGAACGTGACGTCCTGGGAGGACAGAACACGACGAGAGGAGGGGTGGTAAAACTGCCACCCTGGGGCGTCAGTGGGGAAGCCAAGGAAGACACAGGGAGCAGCACGAGGGGACAGCTTGTCCGCAGACAAGTCGCGGACAAACGCCCGAGATCCCCAGACACGGAACACAGACGCATCGCCAACCTTCCCTGTCCACAGCAAGGCTGGGGACATCGCAGGCCGAGAGACCCGGGGGTGAAGGTTGAGCTGATGCGCCGCGTACCTCACCGCAAACGGCCACAGAAAATGGGGGGCAGCCGCATGCATCATGGACGTACGAGCGACATCCATGACCATGCCAATGCGGCGCTCAGCAATCCCATTTTGCTGTGGTGAGTCCGGAAGCGTGAAGGACTGGCGGATGCCTCGCGCACGACAGTAGGCACGCAGAAGGCCAGAGGAGAACTCTCCGCCTCTGTCCGAGTGCAGACGCAGAACAGGAAAGTCCGAGCCGAAGCTCTTCCTGAGCTGGAGACGAGCCTCGCGGATCCAGTCGATCAGCACCTCAGTGACCGCACCCTTGCTGCGCAAGGGGAGGACTGTGGTGTAACGCGAGTAGTCGTCAACCACCAACAGGAAGTAGCGCTCGTAATCCTGCCCACGGACGGGGGCTGGGCCCCACACATCCATGTGAAGCGTCTGCAGGGGAGCCTCTGTCGGGGGGGAAGTGGGAGGAGTGAGGAGTAGCCCGGAGGCGACCCTCGACACAGGGGACACAGGAAGGTCCTGGCCCGGAGGGGAGAGGAGGGAGAGACTGGGGAAGACCAGAGACAAGGACACGGGAAGCCATGCTCCGAAGACGGGGCAAGGAGGGGTGGCCAAGACGGTGGTGCCACAGGAGAGTCTCGTGAGACAGGAGGCGACAAGCACAGGGGGCAGACTCAGGACCAGACCTGGACGCAGCAGCAAACACCTGACCCGACGCTGCTACCTGACCGGACGCGGGGACAGGAGGAGACTCAGTGGTCAGGGTGTAGAGGCTCGACCCCGGCCGACGCGAGAACGTGGCCAGGTGCCGGCCTGTGCGTGCGTCCGTGCAGTGGGTCACCCGCTGACTCGCAGGAGTGAACTGGTGAACCCCCGCATCCTGTAGGTCTGCACCACTCACCAAGTTCGTCGAGAACGAGGGGAGGTACAGGCCAGACAGGGTGCCCGAGGGGGCAGCCGGACACGGGAGGACAGTGGAGAAGTGAGCGAGGACAGGACCCCCAGAGGGGTCAGCCAGGGAGACTGCAACCGGCCGACCAAGCGGCGTGAGTGTGGTGCGGTCCCGAAAGAAGGAGCGAGAAGCCCCAGAGTCAAGTGTAAAGGTGAGGGAGGCCGAAGCCAACGCGGTACCTGAGAGCGCAGCCTCACCCGCACCTGAGGAAGCAGACTCACGAGCACCTAGAGCAGCAGCCGCACCTGTACCTGGAGCAGGAGACTCACTAGCACCCAGAGCAGCAGCCTCACCAGTAGCTAGAGCAGCAGGTCCTATACCTGGGTCAGGCGGGACGCACAGGTGACCGGCACGGTCAGCACTAGTAGGCAATGCATACATGGCAGTGAGAATAGCATCATAGTCAAGAGCATATATATCTACCCTCTGCCTAAGCAACTCCACCCAGTCGGGAAGCTCAGCCTCGTCGCCAAACACGGTACGCCAGGCGTCGCTCAGACGGGCGAAGCAGCGGGACGGTGTATGACTACGTGTCCCACAAGGCTGACCAGTCCGAGTACCAGTGCGAATCACGTAAGAGCAGCGAACAGCACTGAGAGACCCTCCACTCTGAGCGTACCACTCACGAAGCTGGCGAGGCGTGAGAGACACGCGAGAGGGTCGCGGGAGCTGCATCTGGCCGCCACCACGAGTAGAAGCAGCAGGAGTGGAAGTAGGAGTAGCGTCGCCACCCCTACAGCCCCAACCAGCGTACCACTCACGCAGCTGCTGGGGCGTGAGGGACTCACGCAGGCGTCGCTGGGGCTGCATCTGGCTCCGCAAGTAGAAGCAGGAGCAGGACTAGCAGCAGGAAGGCAGGCAGCCAGGCAAGCCAAAAGGCAGGCAGGCAGGCAAGCAGGCGACGCGCAGCGTGCTAGCAGGGCAAGAGCTCACCAGTGGTGGGAAGAGTAGGCTCGGCGACTCAGTGGCTCGGCAGCTCGGCGGCTCGGCGGCTCGGGCGACTCGGGCGGCTCGGTGGCAAGGCGGCTCGGCAGCAACTGCAGCTCAGCAGCTCGGTGACTCGGCGGCTCGGCGGCAGGGCGGCTCGGCAGCAACAGCAGCTCAGCAGCTCAGCGACTCGGCGGCTCGGCGGCAGGGCGGCTCGGCTGCTGGGCGGCTCGGGTGCAGGGCGGCTCGGCGGCTGCAGGTGAGCGATGAAGGAGGAGGAGAAGCAAGGGAGGCCACACACCTGCCACCCCTCTGCTGCGGCCCCCGAAGGAGCCGCGACAGGCGACGGGAAAAGGGGGGTTGGGTGGTGGGGGCCGGTAGGTGCAGCGGCGGGGCCAGCAGGTGCAGTTGCGGGGCCGGTAGAAGGTGACGGCAGGAGCCGTGAGGAGGCGACCGGGCCGCGACGGGGGCAGGCGGCGGGGCCGCGTAAGGGCCTGGGCGGGGCCGCGACAGAGCCGTCGACGGGGCCGCGTGAAAGCCGGGGCGGGGCCGCGTAGAAGCCGGGGCGGGGCCGCGCGAGAGCAGGCGGCGGGGCCGCGAAGGAGCCGGGGCGGGGCCGCGTGAGAGCAGGTGGCGGGGCCGCGTAAGGGCCTGGGCGGGGCCGCGACAAAGTCGTCGGCGGGGCCGCGTGAAAGCCGGGGCGGGGCCGCGTAGAAGCCGGGGCGGGGCCGCGCGAGAGCAGGCGGCGGGGCCGCGAAGGAGCCGGGGCGGGGCCGCGTGAGAGCAGGCGGCGGGGCCGCGTAAAGGCCGGGGCGGGGCCGCGACAGAGCCTGCTGCGGGGCCGCGTGAGAGCCGGCGACGGGGCCGCGTAAGGGCCGGCGGCGGGGCCCCGTCAGAGAGGGCGGCGGGGCCGCGTCAGTGAAAGCGGCGGGGCCGCAGGGAAAATGACGACCCGAGGGGTCGCTAAAAAAAATCGCGCCTCGGGGGGCGCTTCGGTGGGCCCAAAAAAACGGTCCGTAGAAGGACCCGCTCTATACCATGTCAGAATCAGCGAACAGGAATGAATGAACTAGCAGTGAAATGAGTACAAGTAGGAAACCCTAGAATTGTGTACCCCCTATAGGCTAACCCACTGTAGCCTACACAAGCAGAACACATATAATGTTTGACAGTCGTCCACACTGCTGACCAGTGCGGTCACCAGTGCGAATGACGTACGTGCAGCTAAGACCACCCCCACCCCCGTGCTGAGAGTACCACTCACGGACCTCCTGGGGCGAGGGAGTGTGCTGCTGGCCCTGGCCACCGCCATTGCCTCCACGGCCACCACCACCGCTGCCACCTCCTCGACCACCCCAACCCCTGCCGCCGCCTCGTCCACCGCCACCCAACCGCCGCCTCCACTCCTGCCACCTCCCCCGCCGCTGCCGCCACCACCCCCACCGCTACCACTCGCCCCTCCAGCCGAGCCACCACCCCCACTGCCTCCACCGCCCCCACCGCCGCCTCCCCCGCCGTCACCGCCACCACCCTTGCCCCCTTTGCCCTTGCCGCTGCGGCGTCCGCTCAAGGCAGACGCAGCACCGACCTTCTTAGTACCAAGAAGGTCGACAGCAGCAGCAGAGGCGACAGAGGGAAGAAGGGGGGAAGGAGAACACCCCTCAAAGAACGGGGTACGGGGGTCGCCACGAGAGGCACCTACAGCGACTATGCTAGTCTCAGCTGCAAGTAGCTCCTTCTCGAGGAAGGCAATGGTGAGCTCAGTGGGGCAACGAGCTAGGAAGTGGTCCCTGACAGCACGCAGTGTGTCAGGGAGGCGGGTGACTAGGTGGTAGAGAGTGAGCCAGAGTGGAGGGGGGTGCGTGGCAAGGAACTCAGCAGGCATGGTGGCACGGAAGCGGGCCTCACTAGTACAGAGGTGCGTGATGAGGTCAGCGACTGTGTGAAAGGAGGCGAGGTCGGGAAACAGGTAGGGGAGGGAGAGACGGCCTAGTGCGGTAGAGGCAGGTGAGGAGTAGCGAGCAACTACAGCTGTGTACAGTGCCTGTGCAGTCTTGTGCTGACCAAAGTGCTCGCGCTCGTCTATCGGCAGGGAGTTGCGAATGGCGAAGCGAGCGTGAGCATCACGAGTCTGCCACTGTGAGCGAGCAGTGCTGTCAGCAGTAGCAGCAGGGGCAGTGACATGGCCTAGGGCGTGATCGTACAGTGAGATGTCATCCTTGGCTGTGAGCTGTAGGTAGAGGTGCAGGTGATCGAGCCAGGTGTCAAACTTCACAGGGCGGCCCTCAGCATCGAACACGAGAACCTGTGGGCTAGCCATAGGAACAGTAGAAATAGCAGCAGTAGCAGTAGGAGAAGCAGGTAGGACGAACCAGGTAGGGCGGGGCGGCGCGGCTCGGTTTAGGTCGGGTCGCGGCTCGGCTGGGTGGCGCGGCTCGGTTCAGGGCGCGCGGCTCGGCTCGGGGCGCGCGGCTCGGGTCGCGCGGCTCGGGTCACGGCGGGGACGGGCCGCCCGCTCTCCCTCGTGTGCTGCGGCGGGAAAGGAGCCGCCCGGGGCCTCTAGGTGGTGGGCACGGGTCGGCGAGGTCGGCACGGGGCCGGTTGGGGCCCTAGAGGGGCGAGCGCGGGGCCGATCGGGGCCTGAGCGGGGCTAGCGCGGGGCCAAACGGGGCCTTGACGGGGCTAGCAAGGGGCCGACGGGGCCTGAACGGGGCTAGCGCGGGGCCAACGGGGCCTGAAACGGGGCCGACGGGGCCTGAAACGAGGCTAGTGCGGGCCCGATCGGGGCCTGAATGGGGCTAGCGCGGGGCCGACGAGGCCTGAGAGGGGCTAGCGCGGGGCCGACGGGGCCTGAAACGGGGCTAGCGCGGGCCGACGGGGCCTGAGAGGGGCTAGCGCGGGGCCGACGGGGCCTGAAACGGGGCCAACGGGGCCTGAAACGGGGCTAGCGCGGGCCGACGGGGCCTGAGAGGGGCTAGCGCGGGGCCGACGGGGCCTGAAACGGGGCCGACGGGGCCTGAAACGGGGCTAGCGCGGGCCGACGGGGCCTGAGAGGGGCTAGCGCGGGGCCGACGGGGCCTGAAACGGGGCCGACGGGGCCTGAACGGGGCTAGCGCGGGGCCTGAACGGGGCCTTAAAGGGGCCGACGGGGCCTGAACGGGGCCGCTAGGGAGAGCGGGCGTGGGGCCGACGGGGCCTGAACTGGGCTAGCGCGGGGCCGTCAAGAGGGGCCTCTAGGGGCGTGACACGCCGAGGCGCCCTAGGGCACAGGTAGGTAGGTAGGTAGGTAGTTACGTAGTGGTGGGCCCTTAGAAAATTTCGGTCCTAGGAAGGACCTGCTCTATACCATGTTGGAATCACTGAACAGGAATGGATGAACTAGCAGTGAAATGAGTACAAGTACCTAACCCTAGAATTGTGTACCCCCTATAGGCTAACCCACTGTAGCCTAAACTAACACAACATATATAATGTTTGACAATTGCAACTGCAGGAGGCACGCGACGAGATAACCTCGGGACATTTCGGGGTAGAAAAAACGCGACAGCAACTACAGCGGTATTACTACTGGACGGAGCTGTTGACCGATGTAGAGCACCACGTGGGCTCGTGTCCTACGTGTCAGGTGATGAAGAGCTCGCGAAAAAGAAAGGCGGGTCAGTTGCAGGCGATTCCACCGCCTGAGCGAGCCTGGTAGCAGGTTACCTTGGATTTCGTCACGGGGTTACCTTCGAACCCTGGGGGTAACGACACAGTTATGGTCGTCATTGACTGGTTGACGAAGATGGCACACTTCGCTGCATGCAAGAAATCGATCTCAGCCGAAGAACCCGCTCGCCTGTTCATCGCAGCCGTCGTTCGACTATATGGGATACCAGCCGCGATAATCAGCAACCGAGACACGAAGTTCACCATCAACTTCTGGAAAAACCTCTGGGAGCAGTTCGGGACCAGGCTACAGTTCAGCTTGTCGTACCACTCCGAGACCGACGGTCAAACGGAGCGGACGAATCAGACAATGGAGCAGTTGATTCGTGCCACGTGCGACGACCCGACCACTTGGGAGCAGCAGGTGCCGTTGATCGAGTTCGCGTACATTAACGCCACGTCAGCGACGACGCAGCAATCCCCCTTCTACCTGAACTACGGGCGAAACCCTACAGTGCCCATGACGCCGAGTCCGGACAACCCAACGCCACGAGCACACAATTCGCCGAAATTCTGCAAACTGCCCGCACCAGAGCCGCAGTAACAATTAAAAAAGCCAATGCCATCAGTAAGCGCAACGCTGACCGCCACCGCCGCCCAGTGACGTACCAGTCAGGAGACTACGTACTGCTCGATACACATAACTTTAGACTGCCCGTCGTACCGAAATTACGACCGCGCTACTGTGGACCCTTCCAAATCAGTCACATGATTACCCCAGTGACAGCCGACCTACTATTGCCGACGGACTGGTACACCAGCCCTTCATTCCACGTCAGCCTGCTTCGCCCATACATCCCAACCATAAGCCAACTGCCTCGTCACCGCCCGCCATCCATGACTCGCCCTGCATCAGAGCCGATCATCAAGCCCAAAAAAAATCCTGAGCCATCGAATTCGACACCCCACGGGAACCAGGAGGACTGAATTCCTCGTTCACTGGAAGGACCGCACGCCAACTGAGGATAGCTGGGTGCCCCTGGCCAACATCGAAAACCACCCTGCCCTGCAAGTGTACCTGAGGAGCCGGGGTTTCCGCGACATACACGCACTCGCGTAGCGGAGGGGGCTTTTTGAAGGGGGGGGGGGGTAGTGTAAGGAATTTTCTCGATATTCCTTAGCTTACCCTGCAACATCGCGTACAGCAGCAGCTGTGTTCGCCCGTTACTGATAACAGGGCTTCGCCGACTTCGCGCGCACTGTTTTACCAAATCTCGCACTGCTGGACCGGCCGTGTCGGCCTACGCCTCGGGACTAGCCCGAGCCTCGCTTCCAGCGTAGCACTAGTTAGCTCGCATGCACCGCGTTACCGTTTGCATGTTTCGTGTATAAATGTTCGCTCATGCCTTCGCTCACATTTGTGTACTTGTTTGACACCATAGTGCAATTCTCGCTACTTAGATTCATTGCACTCGTAACACCCTGCAATTATTTTGAGTTGTGCTTTCCTATTGAATATGTAGTCTTGGAGTGTTAGTTGCCTTCCACCACACACTTGCAGGGTGTGGTGGGGAGAGTCACCATTCGTCGTCTTGATTCGTCGAGGTTCTTTGCGACGGACTTCTGGCGGTGCCAAGCAATCTCACGTGAGGTTCACGTCAGCTTATCCCACCGGATTGAATGATCCAATTGGATTGGGTCGTCATCGCTCCGTTCTTGCGGTATCCGTGGTCTGGTCTGGCAAATCTGAAGAAGGAAAGGCTCAAATGACATGTCCCAAGGGGCATTACACGTGTCACACCTTGCAAGGTGGCTGGAATGCCAGTCTGGCTACATCTTTTACAGTAAAACCCAAAACTTTTCGTGTTGTCACCTGGGCCTTGTTTGACTGCCGCATCAGGCACGGGCTTGGCTACCCGCTACAGTAAAGTGTGCTCTCTAAAAGTTTCTGACAAGTGTTGACTCGGGTCTGGGATCTGCTGACTCGGGTCTGGGATAGGTGCATGAGCACCGAAGCGAACTGGTGCATGATGGTAGCCGAACACCCTTTTTGGCCCCAGGTTCGGGAACTGAATGTGCGTTCCCGGAAGGAACCCCCCTCTCCTGGCAAACCGAAGCACCACTGATGCGCGCATGGTGCATCCGTGGAGAGCTAGCACCATGCGCGCACTAGCTGATGCGGGGCAGAATAAGGTGCCCGCCAAGTTGAACAGCCCCCGAGTTTGACTAACATGACCCACACCATGCGCGCACCAGCTGATGCGGGGCAGCACCAGCTGGTGTGGGGCAGAATAAGGTGCCCGCTCTGTATAAGTCGAACACCTACCGTGTTTGACAAACTTGACAGACCAATAGAACCGATTTGACAAACCCCAAACCACTTCCTCGCGTTCGAGCACCACACCTGAACCAAACCTGGTACCCAAGCACCACCAACGAGCCTGCGCTGGTACCCGAGCCAAAACCCTGATGCGCCAGTCGAACAGGCCCTGGAAACGTGATCTACTGGAAGCATTACCTGTTCCCTCTGACCCAGAGTGCTTACTTTGAATCCTCCGAGTCCTCGAAATCTATGATGCTCGTCCTACAGTATCCCATCCCCTGATCCCTCCCCATACCATCTATGTCACATGCGGAGGGGGGTGGGAGACATATGGTTGTCAACCCGGCAACACCAAACCTTGCAAATTCCACCCATACCACCGACCCATTTCGGATCTCTCTACCCTTCCGCTCCGCCAGCACCACTCTCGCTCATCTTCTCTACCAGCACCCACCGTACTGTACCGTATATAGTACTCCCCCCATTCTTCAAAAACTCCCCCCATCAAGCACCTCTGCTCCCCCTTCCCCTCGCCCCTGTGGAAATCAAACACCAGCGCTGGGCGATTGAAAGGGTCAATCTCCCCCTGTGGTTGTCTGCGCGCGCATAAAGAGCTCTCCCCAACCCTAACCCCTCGGGATCTCCGTGACGAACAGCTCCAGAGAGCACACCGACCCAGATTCCATGCATCCACTCAGAGCGACAACCAGATCCCACTCACAACCCCTTCCAAACACATCTCCCAACTCGTGTTTGATAGGGTGTTTCCAGCCGCCTGGCAGTTGTAGTGGCATCGCCTAATCGCCGGCATTTGGGGCCGACAGTGGCGGCATTCTGCCGTTTCGCGAACCCCATTTGATGGCCGATCAGGTCGAGTCCTCGTCGCCGTTCCACGGGGGACAAGGCAGCCATGGTAAGCACAAGCCACGGATCAGAATGTAGGTTCGAATTAAAAGTGACTCTCGAGATCGTGATGTAACTCAAGTGTACAGGGTGAAAGTTCTAGTTCCCGTGTGTTGCCCTCGCAATGGCTCACTCTCCGCAGTAGCCGTCGCCGTTCCTTCCCATATTCGTTTTCCCCCGTCGATCCATCTCCTTCGCCTCCCTTTTTTAGGTTTCTTGCAGCCTCGCCCCCTCTTTGCCGCAGCGTTACCCTCCTCTGATCACGTTCCCTTCACGACACATGTCATTTCCACGCGGGTTCATCCCTCATCTCTCACTCTCTCCTTTCGCTTCACTCATTCCTTCTCGTGTGCCATCGCATGCTTCTCCCAGACCCATCAAATTCGTCGCTGAACGGAGGGACACCAGGGGCATCGCTCCCCATGAGCATCCCCGCCGCTCCCGCCGGCATCGGGATCGAGCCCGACGGCTTTCCCGCCACGTCGCTGTCTCCGCCAGCAGGCCGCATCCTCAATGCGGGAGCTGCGGTTTTCGTGCCACGTGTCGCGAGCCCCATGCTCGCCTCCGCAGGGGGGCCTTCCCGGGGAAGCCCGGTGCCTCCGCAGCCGGCGCAGCCGCCGCATCAGGCGATGATGCCCATGCAGCAATCGATGTCGCCGTCAATGGCGCCGTCTATGCCGCCGTTCAATGTTCCGCACATGGGGCAAGGCCTCCCCGCGCCTATGGGGTACGGCCCGCCGGGGATGGGCGCGCAAGGCATGTACGGGCACCCAGGGGGGGGCGGCGGCGGCGGCGGAGGCGGATACATGCACAGCGGCTCACCGGTGGAGGCCAGTCCGCTCATGCCGATTGCCGCGGGTCCGCGCAGGCAAGCGCGCGGACACGGGGGGCACGCGCACGGACACGCGCACGGGCACGGCGGGCATCCGCACGCGCACGCGCACGCGCACATGGGGGGAATGATGGGGGGACCGCATCATGGGGGAGGGGTGGGGATGGGGATGGTGATGGGGATGGGGATGGGTGTTCCTATGGGGATGCCGCCGGCAGGAATGATGGCGGCGGCGGAGCGCGAGGGCGCCGTGGTGATGCAGAGCGGCTCGCCGCAGATGGTGCCGCAGATGCCGGCGCAAATGCCGGCCCAGATGCCGCTGCCGGCCGTAGAACCCGCGGAGGCAGCCGGGAACGAGCTTCCTCACGAGGTAGTTGCGGCTGGGACGAACGGCGTCGCGGCTGCTGCTCCTAGCGCGGCGGAAGCGGCGGGGGCGGGGGATGTTGAGAGTGCGGCGCATTCCGGCAATGGCGCGGTGGGAGCGGGGGGCTCCGATGGAGCGGAAGCGAAAGCGGAAATGGAAGCGGGAGTTGGAGGTGCGAGCGTGAGTGCGGAGAGGAGTGAGAATGTGGGGTGCGAGGGAGAGGCATTGACAGACCAAGGGAAGGTGACAGAGAGTGAGGGGGAGAGTGCGAGGGGAGGGAAGAGCGAAGGGGGAGAGGGAGTGGGTGAAAAGAGAGAAGGTGGGGGTAGTGAAACAGCGGAAGCGCAAGCTGCGAAATCGCAAGCAGCGGAAGCGCAAGGAACGGAATCGCAAGAAGCTGATGATGATAAGGACTGGGTGAAGGTAGACCATCATCATCACCATCACCACCACCACCACCCACACCAGCAGCAGCAGCAGCAGCAGCAGCAGCCACAGCATAAACACCCGCAGGCCGGGCACACCGGCGCGCAGGCGCACGCACACGGGCACGGGGCGGGTCAGGGGAAGGGGGGGCAGCAGGGAGCGGCGGCGGCGCATGGGAAGGCGAAGGGGGGAAAGCAGGGGAAGGAGCCGAGTGTGCAGCTAGCGGGGAAGGAGCTGGAGGAGGTGAAAGAGAAGATGGTGCGACAGGTGCGTGCTGGGGCAGGTGCGGGCTGGGGCAGGTGCGGGCTGGGGCAGGTGCGGGCTGGGGCAGGTGCGGGCTGGGGCAGGTGCGCGCTGGGGCAGGTGCGCACTGGGGCAGGTGCGCGCTGGGGCAGGTGCGCGCTGGGGCAGGTGCGCTATGAGGCAGATGCGTGTTGGGGCAGGTGCAACAGGTCCGTTCCAACACTTGAAACACAACCGTTGGGATCAAGGGGGTTGGCAGTTGGGAGGGGGCGGGGCTGTGAAGAGGGGCGTGGACGGGTTCTCAAGTTCAGGGTAGGGATGCAGGGGGAGCTGTTTAAGTCTATTGCCTAGGCGCCTCAAAAAGAACGGGGTTGTCACGGTCAGGGAAGGAATGCAGGGTGTGCCGGTGAAGTCGTTGTCTAGGCGCCTCAAAAAGAGGGGCGTGAACGGGGCTGTCACGGTCAGGGAAGGAATGCAGGGTGTGCCGGTGAAGTCGTTATCTAGGCGCCTCAAAAAGAGGGGCGTGAACGGGGTTGTCACGGTCAGGGAAGGGATGCAGGGGGGCCCGGTGACGATGGTGTATGTGTGTAGGTGAGGATAACCGGGGGGTTTGGCGGATTATGCGGTATACCCATTCATTGCCTTGCGCTTCTCCTTCCCCTCCTCCCTGCCGCCCTGGTATCTTTGTATGTCTGCCGTCGCGACAGATCCGATCCCTGCTCCCAGCTCAAGCAACAGTGCACGGCATCAGCAGGCCATGGGCCTACTAGATCCCTCCCCCTGCTCGCCTGAGCCCGTCATTCTCGCCTCCTCGTCTGTCTTTTGAGTCGACTCAAAAGTCACCTCATGGGCCTACTAGATCCCTCCCCCTGCTCGCCTGAGCCCGTCATTCTCTCCTCCTCGTCTGTCCCTCCCTTGTTCCGTCCACCCTCCCCTTACGTTCCCCCTCCTCGTCCGTCCGCGCCTCCTCCCGCTTCCCCTCGTGCCGGGGCACATGGCAACAGGTGGAGTTTTACCTGAGCGACCAGAACCTTCCCACGGACAACCGTCTCATGAAGCTCGTGCGTCTCCTCGTCCCCCCTCCGCACCCGCCCCCCCTCTCCGTGCGTCCGCTGCTGTTCACCAGGTGGAGTTTTACCTGAGCGACCAGAACCTTCCCACGGACAACCATCTTATGAAGCTCGTGCGCAAGGACCCTGACGGATACGGTCAGTTGTTCCGATTGAACACCAGTTAATGAGAGTCCATTGTGTAAAAAATACGGTGCTTCTGCAAACCATCTCATGAAGCTCGTGCGCAAGGACCCTGATGGATACGGTCAGTTCGTTCTTCCTCCTAGCCTGCTGCCACTGCATCTTCTTCCTCTTCTCGTCGTCTTCTTTGCTTGAACCAGCAGCTCCTTCTGCTCCCGCTCTGTCTCGCGGTTCTAGCTTCTCTGTTTGTGCCTCTGACTCTTGCGTCTGGCGCTGCTTTCACTTCCTTCGGCCACCATACCCCGCTTCCTTCTCTTGTCGCTGCTGCCACAGCATCTTCCTCCGCTCCCTTCCCCATTCCCCACTCCCTTCTCCCCCCTTCCCCCTTCCCCCTTTTCCCCGTCCCCTTTCCTCCTTCCGCCTCCCCCCTTACCCCTATCTCCCTTCCCCCTTCCCCATTATTTCTGATCTCCCCCTACATTCCCCCCATCCCCCCGATCTCCCCCCTTCCCCATCCCCCCCTCCGCCAGTGCCGCTGAAGATCATAGCGGAGTTCCGCAAGATCCGTGCGCTCGTGCCCCAGGGCTCGCCCAACGTGGCGGTCGTCAACCTGCTCGCCGCCGCCCTCAGAGCCTCGCCCTTCCTCGTCCGTGCTCTGCTCCCCCACTTCCCCCTCTCTCTGCCCCTCCCTCTGCCATCCCCATACCGCCCTCGCCGTCCTCTGCCGTCCTCTGCCGCCCCTCGCCGCTCCTTTCTACAATCGTTCACTATTCTCTCTTAAACCGGACTAATGTCATCACACACGTGCTTAACTCCGCTGTCTATTCCTCTCCCCCAGTTCCCTTTCCCCACTCCCACTCCCTCCCTTCCCCCCTTCCCTTCCGCCCCTTCCTTCCCCTTCTTACTCCCCCATTTCGTCCCCCTTTCCGCCCCCTTTCCTTCCGCCCTTCACCCACCCCGCCCATCTGCCCGTGCAATCCGCGCTGTGTGTGTGCTGCGCGCGCAGGTGGTGGGGGAGGATGGCAAGAAGGTGCGGCGGGCGGTGGCGCTGGGGGAGGTGGATCTGGAGGAGGTGCAGGTGAGCGCGGGCGCGGAGGGATGGGGAAAGCTGGGGGGACGAGGGGGGAACGAAGTGAGAAGTGGGGAGAGTAAAATGGAGTTTACTGGGGGAGGTGGATCTGGAGGAGGTGCGCCTGGGCGAGATCATAACAGGAAGGGCGAGTTGGGTGGGGAAGGAAGGGAGGAAAGGTAGGGAGGAAAGGGGCCGGGGGAGGGGGGGGGGGGGGGGGGGGGGGGGGAGCTTGGGAGAACATGTGTGGTTCCGTGCCTAAGTGAGGGTGGATGAGCGGTAGTGGGGCAAGTGAATGGAACGATGGGGAATCGGGGAAGCCAGCAGCAGAACCAAGAAACTTCACTTCCCCTACACACCCCTGCAGACGCTTCCATACTCCTTCAATTGCCCTATTCACTCCTCCATACTCACTGTCATACTCCTCCCTGCTCCTCCATACCCTTCCCTGCTCCTCCCTGCCCTTCCCTGCTCCTCCCTGCCCTTCCCTGCTCCTCCCTGCCCTTCCCTGCTCCTCCCTGCCCTTCCCTGCTCCTCCCTGCTCCTCCCTGCTCCTCCCTGCTCCTCCCTGCCCTTCCCTGCTCCTCCCTGCTCCTCCCTGCTCCTCCCTGCCCTTCCCTGCTCCTCCCTGCCCTTCCCTGCTCCTCCCTGCTCCTCCCTGCCCTTCTCTGCTCCTCCCTGCTCCTCCCTGCCCTTCTCTGCTCCTCCCTGCCCTTCTCTGCTCCTCCCTGCCCTTCTCTGCTTCTCCCTGCCCTTCTCTGCTCCTCCCTGCCCTTCTCTGCTCCTCCCTGCCCTTCTCTGCTCCTCCCTGCCCTTCTCTGCTCCTCCCTGCCCTTCTCTGCTCCTCCCTGCCCTTCTCTGCTCCTCCCTGCCCTTCTCTGCTCCTCCCTGCCCTTCTCTGCTCCTCCCTGCCCTTCTCTGCTCCTCCCTGCCCTTCTCTGCTCCTCCCTGCCCTTCTCTGCTCCTCCCTGCCCTTCTCTGCTCCTCCCTGCCCTTCTCTGTTCCTCCCTGCCCTTCTCTGCTCCTCCCTGCCCTTCTCTGCTCCTCCCTGCCCTTCTCTGCTCCTCCCTGCCCTTCTCTGCTCCTCCCTGCCCTTCTCTGCTCCTCCCTGCCCTTCTCTGCTCCTCCCTGCCCTTCTCTGCTCCTCCCTGCCCTTCTCTGCTCCTCCCTGCCCTTCTCTGCTCCTCCCTGCCCTTCTCTGCTCCTCCCTGCCCTTCTCTGCTCCTCCCTGCCCTTCTCTGCTCCTCCCTGCCCTTCTCTGCTCCTCCCTGCCCTTCTCTGCTCCTCCCTGCCCTTCTCTGCTCCTCCCTGCCCTTCTCTGCTCCTCCCTGCCCTTCTCTGCTCCTCCCTGCCCTTCTCTGCTCCTCCCTGCCCTTCTCTGCTCCTCCCTGCCCTTCTCTGCTCCTCCCTGCCCTTCTCTGCTCCTCCCTGCCCTTCTCTGCTCCTCCCTGCCCTTCTCTGCTCCTCCCTGCCCTTCTCTGCTCTTTCCTGCCCTTCTCTGCTCCTCCCTGCCCTTCTCTGCTCCTCCCTGCCCTTCTCTGCTCCTCCCTGCCCTTCTCTGCTCCTCCCTGCCCTTCTCTGCTCCTCCCTGCCCTTCTCTGCTCCTCCCTGCCCTTCTCTGCTCCTCCCTGCCCTTCTCTGCTCCTCCCTGCCCTTCTCTGCTCCTCCATCCCTGCACGTTCGCTCTCATGTGCGTCACAGTCATGTGGGGATGGCTACGCAACCCCGAAAGGGCCAGTCCACTCCCATGCAATTACACACACACACTATAAAATTTCTCCACCCTCCCGCCCGCCCTCCCTTCCTCCCTCGCTCCTCCCCTCCCGCCCTCCCTCCTCCCCTCCCGCCCTCCCTCCTCCCCTCCCGCCCTCCCTCCTCCCCTCCCGCCCTCCCTCCTCCCCTCCCGCCCTCCCTCCTCCCCTCCCGCCCTCCCTCCTCCCCTCCCGCCCTCCCTCCTCCCCTCCCGCCCTCCTTCCTCCCTTTCCGCCCTCCCTCCTCCCCTCCCGCCCTCCCTCCGAGCCTGCAAGTCTTTTCATCCCTGCACCAAAGGACTAATTCATTCAAAAATCGAGTAACAAACTAGTCCAAAGAACCTAACCAAGGGACAATATTTCTCCCTTCCTTCTGTCTCTCGCTCCTCCCTCCCCCTCCTCGCGTTTTCAGCGATTTTCGAGGCGCCTCAAAAACCCCTCTCGCACTCCTCCCTCCCTCACTTCCCCTCTTCCTCCCTCCCCCTCTCCCCCGCCACCAGGCGCGCACAGTGGTGGCGGAGAACCTACCAGAAGACCATTCCATCCCAGCCATGGTGGCTCTCGTTGCCAGAACAAGCTTTGAGACGTCCCAAAACTCCCTCGCTCCTCCCTCTCCCCTCCCCCACCCCCCCTCCCCCCCCCCCCCGCCACCAGGCGCGCACAGTGGTGGCGGAGAACCTACCAGAAGACCATTCCATCCCAGCCATGGAGGCTCTCTTTGCCAAGGCGGGAAAGTGAGTGCTGTGCGCTGCACTGCGGTGCAGTGCGGTTATGGTTGGGTGTGGTGTGGTGTGGTACGCTGCGCTGCGAGGCACATACAGAAGCATGCTGTGCAGGAAGGTCTGCCTGCAAGGGTTTTACGTACACTGCGTTTTGCTGTGACTTGTTTTTCGGTGGGTGGGCGGGTGTGGTGGATTTTCTTCCCTGTATGGTTGTCCTTCCCTGTATGTTTCTGCTCTCTTGTCACTTTCCTCCTTCCCTGCTTTCGATCTCACCACGATTCCACCCTGCCTTCCCTCTCAACCCATGCAGAGTGAAGATGGTGCGAGTGTGCAAGCCCGAAGCGGCCAATAGCGCCAACCAGGCGGCGATAGCTGCAGCAGCTGAACCCCCTTCTCCCCCCTGCACTCAACCCCGCCCCCCTGCTCACTGTTTGTTCCCCCACCCTTCTGCCTCAACTCAACCCATGCAGAGTGAAGATGGTGCGAGTGTGCAAGCCCGAAGCAGCCAACAGTATCAGTCAAGCGGGTGGGTCACACCCCTCCTTCTGCCCCTTCCCCCTGCACTCACCTCCCCTCTGCTTGTTCTCCCTGCCTTCTATCTCAACCCATGCAGAGTGAAGATGGTGCGAGTGTGCAAGCCCGAAGCGGCCAACAGCGCCAACCAGGCGGCGATAGCTGCAGCAGCTGCGGGGGCAGGAGCGGGGGCTGGTGGGGGCAACAGCGGGAGGCACGGGCACAAGCAGCATGCGCACCACCACGACCTTGTTGTCACTAACAAGGTGGGGCTCTGGAAGGGTGGGTCTTGATTCGATTTCATCTCACCGCACTGCACCTGATATTGACTGCATCTGGTTCCACCCCGCATATCCCATCTTGCTCCTATGCCCCGTCCCACCATCAGCTGCATGCGTTGGTGGAGCATGCGAGTGTGGAGGAGGCAGAGATTACAAGGTCTCACCGCCCCTGAGTTACTCTTATTTCATCTTATTGCATCCCAACCCCACTGTGCCGCCACCCGTCCCACCACCAGCTGCATGCGTTGATGGAGCATGAGAGTGTGGAGGAGGCGGAGAGGACAAGGTCTCACTGCACTGTACTGCATCTCACTGCATCCCACTGTGCTGCCATACCCCATCTCACGATTAATCCCCCTGGCAGCTGCATGCGTTGGTGGAGTATGAGAGTGTGGAGGAGGCGGAGAGGGCAGTTGAGATGCTGACAGATGAGAACAACTGGCGCAGTGGCCTGCACGTGCGCCTGCTCATCCGCAAACCCGCACATGTACGTAGTGGTGGTGCATGTGTGTGTGTGTGTGTGTGTGTGTGTGTGAGAGAGAGAGAGAGAGAGAGAGAGAGAGAGAGAGAGAGAGAGAGAGAGAGAGAGAGAGAGAGAGCACATTTGCACATGCTCTGCTGCTGGCACATGCGCCTGTTACAAACCAGCACATGTACGTTGCGTTGCAGCATGGATACCAGCACAGCACGCAGCAGCAGCACATGTGCGTGTACCAGCACTTGAACTAGTAGGTAGTTGCGTGGCGGCGGCGGCGGCGGCTTGCTTTGCTGTACCATGCAATGCCATGGCATGTTTATTTTGGGCTCTTCATGCCATACCATGCCACCAGTTATTTTCTCCCCTTGCTCCCTCATCTCACTAAATGGTGTTCTTTGACTCTCTTTTTCCAATGATAGTTATGTTATCATCATTCATCTTCCTTTGTCCATCCCCAACTCCCTCTCCATCTTACTCCCACGCTCACTGCCGTTCTCACTTCCACTGTCACTTTCACATCGCATTCTACAGAAGCAGCACCAACATCAGCACCACCAGCATTCGCACCAGCATTCACACCAGCAGCATCAGGGTCAGCAGGCACATGCAGGGAAGAACAAGAAGGGCAGTCAAAGCAGCCTTCACAGCAACCACAGCAGCAGCGGCAGCCTTTCTGCTGCTGCAGGCACAGGAGCAGCAGGAGGAGCAGCAGCGGCAGCAAAGGGAGGAGGGGGAGGAGGAGCAGGAGGGGTTGTTGATTCATCAGCGGAGGAGAATCTTCTAGATGGCGTTGCGGCCAGTGAGGGATTATTGGCATTAGATGATGGAGAGAATGACGGGGATGCGAGTAGCACTCATGATGCTTCACCCACCGCCGCCGCCGCCGTGGCCGTCGCTGCTGGTGCTGCAGGTGCTGGTGGTGGTGGTGGCAGAAGGGGTGGTAACATGCCGGCACTCTCTCCCCCTGGTGATGGCGTCCTTTCCATGGTGTGCCCTCGCTCCCCTCACTTTCTCCCTCGCTCCCACCCTCACTCTCTCCCAACATATATTCTCCCCCCCACCCCCCACTCTCTTTTTTCCCCGTCCATCTCTGTTTCCCCCCTTGCACCCTCTGTCGCTCCAATCCTTGCACACTCCTGCACTCATTTTCTCACTCCCTCCCTCCATCAGTCCATCTTTCACAGCCACTCCCTCCTATTCCCCTTCTATCCTTCGCTCCTCTCCCTACCCCCCTCACTCTCTCACTCACACGCTCCTCCTGCCCCTCTCGCCGTCACTTGCCGCTCACTTCCCTCTCCAGCCCGACAGCGAGACGAGCAGCAGCAGTCCACGCAAAGGCCGGGCCATCAAGGGTCGAAACAAGGGATCAGGGAGCAAGCTGTCAGGGGGCTCTGGCTCGTCCCACAACCAAGGCTCCTCTCTCTCCCGCACGCCCGGGCGCGACGGCAGTGGCAGCAGCTTCGGTAGCGCGCACAACCACCACGGCAGCAACAGCCACCACCAGCACCACCAGCACTCGCCAAACAACACCCCGCCACGCTCGCGCATCGGCAGCAGCGGCAGCGGGAGCGGGAGTCACCATCACAGCCACTTGCATCCCCACCAGCACTCGCAGCACCACCACCACCATCACCTGCACGGCGGAGGAACCCCCCCGAAAGGCGGTAGCTTGCCGTCCTCTTCGTTTCTCTTGCATGGTAGCCCGTTGGGAGGTGCGGGAGGCGGTGGGATTCTCGGGTGCGGAAGCGGAGGTTCGGGGGAAGGCTCGTCGCTGCTCATGCGGCCCCCTCCGGGGCCCCGCATGCCGGATGGAACTAAGGGGTTTGCCATGGGGCGCGGGAAAAGGTTACCGGCGGCAACATGAACAGAGAAAAGGCGGTGGGGTCCAGCGGGTATTTCAGGTGGGGAGATTGTTTTAGGGAGTGGATGGTATGATGAGGTGGGGGTGGTGGACGTGAAGGGGATGGGAGTGCGCAAGGGGGTGAAATGCGAGGAGAGTGAGTAGGTAGGCGGCTAGGGCAGACTTGTGCCTAGCACTCATCGTAAGTTGCGGTGTGACTGAGTTTTTTTTTCCCTCATGGGTCGGAGGAGGCTCGGTGTGAAGTGGTTGGACAGGAGTACACGATACACGTCATAGTTTTGGATGGATCATGGAATGTGTTGAGGGTGGAGATGATATGTGAAGTATAGCTTTGAGGCGAGTGTAAGGCAAACTGTTGCTTCAGGCTGGGCGAGTGGACCACGGAACCATGGAATGGACTTGGATATCTCTGTCTCACCATTATTACTCAAATGGCCACATTTAACATTTTGCTGCAAAATGACTGAACTGTGCCTGATGAGATGGCTTAAAGAGGGCAACTTGACAAAGCGTGTACGTCGTTTGGTCGTAACGAGAAAAGGGTGCATACTGTTAACAGGCCATACGGGTCAAGCCAAGAACCACTGGTTGTTCGTTGGCCTCAGGTGCTGCACAGCGTTAGCACCCCACCGTACCGTACCCAAACCACGTCGGTGAGCGGAAGTCGTGGCAAACCTTGAAATCACGCTCCTTCTCAAACTTCTCTAACAAACCCGAAACCCTTTACACCATCCCCTGACATGTCCGTGAGCTGGTGCCACAAGTGTTGCGGTGGAAGTGTCCGACGCGGCTTGAATGAATGTGAATCGGCCGCGGGTTTTCTTCACTGGTAGTAGGAAAACGGCTGCAATACCGCAAAGGTGCTTGTGTTTGTGCGTACGTGTACACGCCCTTCTGCAATTCCAGCTGCACCATTGTAGCAAAACGTTCTCTTTACTGTAACTTCCATCACGCTTCAACAGTCAGATCTGATCACCCCCTGATTTGCCATTGCTCCTAGTATATGTACAGCTCATTCTGCCCCCATAAATTCACACATCAACCACTCATGCCCTCGTGATCAGGTCTATTGAGTACAGAACGGCATGCTGACCTTGGGCTTTAAACCTAAAAGGTTTAAAACCCTAGAACGGCAGTACGTGTATTTGGGCCAACATCACAGGCATGCAAAACAGTCTGGTAACCCTATTCGATTGTATGCAAAACCGTCGATACCCCAGTTCCACTGCGCAAATCTGTCTGGTACCGCCACTCAAAACACTGTGTAACAGCCAACGCAGCACAAAAAGAAAGCAATACGTGCAACAATCAAGTACGCTTTCAATTTATTTTTATTCTATTCTTACCGCGCCTTGTTTGGCGCCTAATAACGACTCTTGCGGGCAACAACTTTCCATTGAATGTGCACGATAATTTCGACCGGAAAATTCGTTGGAATGAAAGTAGTATATATTGCTACCCGGTGCTGTTAGGGCAGGCAAGAAAAACATAAAACCCCTAGGGACCGGGACTCATTTCAGGGAAGGATCAACCCTAAACACGGGAAAGGGCTTTGTTTTTAGGGTTGATGCCTCCCGAGTCGCATCCCTTTCCGATTGGGTTTTATTTTTTCTGCAGGTGTAGCGAACAGTGCTGCTCATATGGCAGAACAGTCGCCCGAATAAAGCAAGTTTTATAGGACAACAAAGCGTGGTAGAAATCTGATTTTGAAGTAAATAGAACCACAGTTCTAGGGCAATATGTCAAAAACTCCGAATCCGAGTTATCGACGGTTTTGCATACAATCGAATAGGGTTACCATACTATTTTGCATGCCTGTGATGTTGGCCCCGTGTACTTATGTCGGTCTGTTCAAGGATAGCCCCGGTTCCTCTCGTGGTGTCCAGCTGGCGCGTGCGTGACCATTTCAACGATTCAGTTCGAGGTCCACGCATCGGCACATTGATTGATGTGATGACGTCTTCCCAGAGGCACCGACTTACAAAACCTGACCATGAAGATGGAAGGTTCGTATCGGTTCGGGCGGGATTCAGGTCAGGTCGGGTCGGGTCACGCACGGTGAAAGGTCCTCGTAAAAAGGACTTATAGGGACTGGGAGGGAAGGCACAAGAGAAAAATCACTGTAAAGTACAGTGTTTTTATGTTACGACGTGTTGCGACCCACATGGGTTGGGTGGACCGGCCCCCGACCCCTCATTTCTAGGAAGGCTGCGTCGCGGGTCTAGCCGACCAGGTCGACCCAAACGGGTCGGGTTGGGTCTTCCAGACCCGGGTCGACCTGGTCGGGTCGACCAGGTCGACCAGACCCAACCCAACCGAGTTGAAGCAGGTTACCTGAGCCTACGAAAATTACATCTCTCGCGCAGAAATCGCCCTGATTTCGCCGCCCAAGAAGATACCAGGTAGACTCGCGCAAATCTCTTCATAGCTCGCCACAGGTCGCCCAGGCCACCATCCCCTCACGTAGCAACTGCTTCGCATGACCCTCGAAGATGTTAGGAAAATAACTTAGAAATTTTCGAGTTTCCCGAATCGCGTTTCGGAGGGTCTAGTCGGTTGGGTCCGGACGACCAGGTCGACCCGACCAAACCCGAACCGTGCGGGTCGTAACACGTCGTAACATTAACCCGTCATTGGTCCTTCCGCATAAAAAGTTAGTCGATTGCCGCCACTCCAATTTCTTATACGTTAGTGTGTATCGGAAGAGACTATTGATCACATTTCCTACGGATGTACAAGGCAATTAATGCCAAATGTGTACTACGCTATCATTCCCCAACCGAGATTACCAGAACGGGAAAAAAAATCGCAGTACCGTACAAGCCATCCACCTGACCCCCAAAATCGCCCACATCACATCACACACCCGCTGCACAGAATTGCCCCATTTTTTGTGACCGGTCACGTGATGTAATCAGTTCGGCAACGCTAACAACCAGCCATCTTCTGTGGACTCCTCCTGCCTGACCTGTCGCCAGAAACGCTGGTTTCTGTCGTGTACACGTGTACACCAGCCTGCCTACCAGTGGCACTATCTCACCTTCCAGCAGTCTTCCTACACTATTCAATACTGTACTGCGCGTCTGCGCATATGCAATTGCATCGAGCCGCAATTCTGTCAGAAACAACCTCGACGCCTGAAAGCAAGACGGTGGACGAAATGAAACAACCAGAAAATTAGCCTCTTGCTCCAGCCTTCCATGTCGGACGTCCAACGCAGGTATCTAGTGTTCCTCCTGACCTCTGAGCAAGAATTAGAGCAGTCCTGTTACTAACAAAATTCCGGCAACCAGCCTTAGAACTCAAGCGTTTCAACCCACTCCTATCTTACACCACCTAAAAGAACATGGCCAAGTCAAGAGCATCAGACTCTCTCGTATCGAAACCAGCATCACACCCATTCCTCGCCGCACGCCGATCGCTCCACTCTCAGCACCAGCACCGTTTAAGTCACTATCCGCCTCACCTCCAGGCCTTAGCTCTCGCATCGCACACGCAACCAGACGCCGCATCATGCCTTCCTCTGCCACACCCGCCGCGCGATTTCATCATCGCAAGCGCGATCGCCAGCACCGTCGGTGGTTGCCCGCCACCCGCGTTTCTTCCGCCAGCAGCATTCGCGAACTTGAAGTTATCACCCGCGAGAGGCGTGCCTGGCGCCGCGGCGGCGGCAACTTCGAGTCGGCTACCTCCATGGATCACGCAGCTAGAAGCCGCCTTTCAAGACGACGCCGCGCGCAGCGCCGGTGGTGACAACGATGTGAACGTGTCGCCTTCAAGCCCCGGAGACATACTATTCCAATCACCGCCGCCGCGTCACCATCATTCCATGCTGCCGCGCCGCCCCAACATTGACGGCGGCGCGACGTCTTCTAGCTCTTCCGACAGCAGGAGAAGCAGCGGCAGCGGCAACAGCGACGACGGTTGCGGGAAACCGTCCGCCGCGTCCGCCGGCGCCCGTCGCGGCGTCCTTCTCGCCGCCGCTGTCGCCTCCGCTGCGCCAACGCCGGGATTCTCGCGGCTGGCAGTCTCCGAACATTCCAAAAATGACCAGAAGCGGAAAGGCTTGGACGAGGTTGTTGCGGAGTTAAATCAGAGTCTCGAATACCCTCCTCACAACCATACCGCTCCCCGAGGCGCCGTTGGATGCGGCGGCACCGGCGGCGGGGTCGCCGCGGCAAAACCGGTCCACAGCAGCAGAGCTAGCGGGAGCAGCGCGCCGAGCCGTTCTCAAAGCGGCGGCGCGGCCGGCGGTTCGTTGTCGACGCAAATAGGTGGCGCTGCCTCCGCGGCGGCGGCAGCAGCGATGGCGGGGGGAAGCCCGAGTCGGCATCACGTGATAATGAGTCATTATCACGGATTGAGCCACTTGGCGGCCGCTGGTAGGATGTGCTCGTCGGCTGACGTGGCTGCTGCTGCTGCCGCCGTGGCATCAGCTCCCTGCTGGGAGAAGCTAACGACCGCTCCATGGCTGCGAAACGGAGGAGGCGGCCAGTTCGTCGCGTCGCCATCCCCATCCCCGGCAACGTCAGCGACTGTGGCGGCGACGGCCACGGCAGCGGGGGCGGCGGCGGCGGCGGCTCTCACGGCGGGACAGGCTGCGCAGCAGCAGCAGCAGCAGCAGCAGCAGCGGCGGCGGATGATAAAGCTGCGAATGGCGAGGCAGGCCGAGCGAGACCTGCTGGCACGACTGCAGCGCGAGGGGGAACGACAGCGAGAGCAACGCGGCCGGCCCAGCGCAGGAGAGGCCGGGGAGGAGCTCTCTTTGAAGGAGCACGCTTCGAGGGCGTTTCCGCTACAGCCTGCTACAACTGCTTCGGCTGCTGCTGCTGCTGCTGCTGCTGCTGCTGCTGCCACTACTACTACCGCTGCTACAACTGGCAAAGGAGCCGATACAACGGCGGAGCAGGCGCAGGTGCTGCTGATGCCGCAGCAACCATCCCTGTCAGGTTCAGCAGCCAAGGCCAGTGCGTATCATCACCGCACAGGCTTGCCGCGCCACATGGTGTTTCAAACCCTGGGCCGCACCGGTGCCTCCCGTGGGGGCTGTGTGGGCAGAGGCGACGGGGCCAGTGGCGGAGGCAGGGGGGGAGGTGGCGGCGGCAGCGGGGGGCTGCAGCGATGGTCATCGCTGCCTGCTGGGCGAACTAGCTTGACGGCAGAACTTTTGGAGATGGCTCAAATGGCTCAACTGGCGCAACTGGCACAAATGGCCCATCTGGGGAAGATACCAAAGATGGCACAGATGCCAGAGATGACACAGATGGCACCGGCCATGGCTTCTCCTCCTAATCACCCTCACGGTGCCGGTACCCGCAATACGGTCCCTGCCCCTCCGCCCCTCACGCTGCCTAGCGACCTGCTCGCTTCGCGGCGCACGCTCAGTCTGCCGCCCGACTCGCTGCAAGCGGCCATGTGGGCGGGACGGGCGGGCAAGGAGGGGGACGACAGCGCGATGCTGCCCCAGGCATTGCTGTCTCCCGCGAAGAAGCAGCGTGGCTCCTGCGGAACGGACCTTGCTTCCTGCTTTTCTCCCTCTTCTTCCGCTGCAGCCAGCGGAAAGGAGTGTATTGCTGCTGCTGCTGCTGCTGCTGCTGCTGCTGCTGCTGCTGCTGCCATTGCTGGTACCACTGCTGCTACTGCTGCTGTTGCTCCTGCTGTCAACGACGGCCCCTTGCGCCTCAGCAAAAAGTCGAGGCGGAGGCGGCAGCACTCACTTCTGGGGGAGCTGGCAGCTTCTGCTATCGCGGCAAGCATTGGGTCTGGGTCTGAGTCTCCTCCTTCTTTTCCAGCTGCCGTTCCTGATGTTGATCCTGCTGGTGCCGATCCTGCTGGTGTTGTTCCTGCTGCCATTCCTGCGCATGTGCTGCAGGGCTTGAGTCCCCTTCGCAGGTGGACTTCTCTTCCCACCAGCGCCTCCATCCTATCTGCTGCTGCTGCTGCTGCCGATGACATTCTAATGATGGATACTGCTACTCCTGTTGCTGCTACCGAACATGCCCCTGATGCTTCGGCTGCACCTGAAGATTCACCTGATGCTTCTCCTGCTGCAGCAGCAGCAGCAACAGCTGCTGCTGTGCATGACGCTGCAACAGACGCTGCTGCTGCTGCTACGGAGGAGGCAGGAGCCAGCGGGGGAGCAGCAGAGCACAAGGCCCGAGCAACAGAGTGCTCCTCGCTCTTCTCTCGCCTGCTGCTCTCCACGCCTCACCACGCGGATCCTGCATCTGCTACTGCCCCTCCTCCCTCCTCCTCTGCTGCTGCTGATGCTGCTGCTGCTCCGTCATCCTTCCCTGCTGTTCTCTCCTCCTTGGGAACCACATGTGCCCTTCCAGAGCCAACAGCAACGCCAGTGGGAGCAGTGACGTGTGCTGGTGGCGATTTACCTGCTGCTGCTGCCGCTGCTGCTGCTCCTACTGCCGCCGGTGCTGGTGCTGCTGGTGCTGGTGGCGGTGGCTGCAGCTTGCACCTGCTGCGGATGCCGCAGTCTGCGCTGCCCTGCTCCAGGCTCAGCCCACAGCGATCCCTTCCCACCTACACCACGGCCAGCAGCAAGGTTACCAGCAGCACTGTTACCAGCATCGCCTCCACTGGTAGAAAGAAACGCTCCTCTCTAGCTTCAAAGACACAGCCGATGCAGCAGACCACTTTCTCCACTGCTCCCACTCTTGCTGCTGTTGCTGCTGACGCTGCTGCTGCTGCTGATGATGATGATGATGATGCTGATGCTGCTGCTGCTGCTGCTGCTGCTGGTGACGAAGCTGATGCTGCTGCTGCCGGTGATGTTGCTAGGGTAGCAGGACGAGAGAGTGGAGGGAGCATGGAGTGTGATACAGAACTTAGAATGATGTGCTCCGGGGAGGTAGTTGCTGCTGTTGATGCTGCTGCCGGCTGTGGAAAAGAACAGGTCCATGGGTGGATGGGGGGACTTGGAGAAACGAATCGGAGCATCTGGGCACATGCTCGAAGAAACCGTGCTGTTGCATGCTCACTGGACCTGGATCTACACCTTTGATCAGATAGATTACACAGATATACATACGCACAGCCTACTGGTAACCTATTTATTTACCTTTGTATATACCTGAATGCTCTGGTCTGGTTATCTATTGTACAGTGAATACTTTAACGTTAAACTTAGGACACCACATAGGACACCACATAGGACTTATCAGATCCTAAGCTTTCCCTTTCTCCTGCCACTTACCCCCACCCGAACGCAATCCAGTCCAACTAACCCAACTTAACCCATCCCAGCCCAACCCTATCCGAACAAAACCCAATAACACAACCTGACCCGACCCAGTTATGGTAGTATGACCATCATTCCAGCATCCTCGTATAACAACTACCCCAGCGCCTTGCATTCAGTTCCGTTTGCATCGCCACTTTGCAATCATTTTAAGCAACCAGCCTGACCATACTTGCTGGTATCCCATACTGGCTTCCTTTGCTCCCTGGCAAACCAGATCCCTCCCCTCTCTCGTGCCCTCTCCCCCATGCGATCATCCCACGACCCTGCAAAGCAATACCCTCCCCACCCCCCACACCGTCACCCACACCTCAACCCCCACCCCACCCCCACCCCCACCCCCATGACACACAAGCTACAGCTCGCTAACACGGAAGCTCCGTTTCACGTGCACAAACGGAAAGAGTTTTGAGACGTCCCATTTGGTACCGGTATATTATAAACGTTGTGTGTCTGTCTCTTTGAGACGCATCCAATGTTTAGAATCAGAACCCCATCCCCCCACACTTACAGCTCACTAACACTGAAGTTCCATTTCACGTGCACAAACGGAACGCTGCCACTCTCCCACTCCTGCTCCCCCCCGCTCCCACCCCTCCTCACACCCGCAGACCCACCCGCACCCGCACCAGCAACACCACCACCGGCACCACCACCCCCACTCGCCCTATTCCCCCTACCAGCCCTACTACCGGCACCACCCAGCCCCAACGGTGACAAATCCCACTCATCATAAACTTCCTGTGGCATGGGCAGGCGGTGGGCGTCAGACACGCACAGAGAAAGCCCTTCCGTGAGCTGCACCAGCTGCGGAGCAAACCGGAGCAGCCGCAGCAGCCCCGAGGCTCCCTGATCCCTCGTGATCCTCCCCTCATCCACCACCAGCCGCCGCAGCCGCAGCCGCTGCCGCACGTCCGTTCTCAGCCGCTCCAGCCTCTGCTCCTCGTCTCTCGCTAGCCGTCGGATAGCCATGGCGTCTCCTCCTGCCTGGGAGAGGAAGGTGTAAACCTGCGTGGGTGTTGCTGTGACCGGCACTGCTGCATAGCCGAAGCGGCGGTCGATGGTGAAATCCCCAGGGCGGAGAGCAGCACTGGCACTGGAGGAGGAGGATGAGGAGGAAGAGGTGAAAGAAGATGAGAAGGTCCGATGCTGATGCAGAAACCGGTCTCCGCTCCAGGTAGGTAACCGCCCTCCATCCACCAGCCAATCTCCGCCTCCTCCTCCCTCTCCTCCTCCTCCCTCCCCCCCTCCTCCTCCCCCTCCACCAATCCGGCCCACTGCCTGCCCGAGAACGCGAACGGGCAGCTCGAAAAGCCGGCCGTCGCACACAGCACCATGCTCCTCCGCATGCCCAATCACATGCTCCAAAAACCCCTCATACACCAGCAACCCCGCCGTTCCCGCGTCAGTAAACACCATCTCGACCTCCATCCCACGCGCAGCCGCCCTCTCCTTTGCACGCCGTTCCCGCGCTCGTGCCCGCCTCCTTAGCACCACGCTCGTGTCTACCCCGGCTAGCCAGTCCCCCCATGCGCTCAGATCGTCACCCTGAGGCAGCCACACACGGCCTTGGGAGTCGATACCGTACCCGCCACCGCCGCTGCCTATCACGACTTGGCTCCCCGACAGGTCTGTGTCTGGATTGCGATCGAGAGCCTTGATCAGCTGCTCTAGCAACAGCACCTCTTGCTGCTGCTGCTGCTGGGGGTGGGGGTGGGGGTCTGAGGAGGACAGGGAGGATATAGAGACGGAACCTGATCCTGCTGCTGCTGCTGGTGATGATGATGATGATGATGATGATGATAGGGATGGTGGTGGTTGAAAGTGAACAGTGACCCCTCGCACCATTCGCAGCACATGCACCATCATCGCCCGATCGCGAACCAAGCTGCTCGCGCTGCTGCTGCCGCTACCGCCGCTCCCACCGCCGCCGCTGCCACCGTTCCAAGCCCCATCCGTCCACCCAGCCTCGCACTGCCTCTGAATCTCAGCCGCTTCTACAAGCAACTCAGACAGCCTCACACCCTCCCCACCCATGCCGCCACCACCAGAAGCACCAGCACCAGCAGGAGCAAATCCAGCAGTGGCAGAGGCGAGGGCGTTGGAGAGGTGGGGGGGAAGGCCGCAGGCGTCTAGGAGTTGCGAGAGAGCCATGCGCGTGCGCAGAGGGATGGACCCCCCCACCACACGCGGCCGCTGTGGGGGAGGAAGGGCCATGGTGACGTGGCGGAATAAGACCGTGCCGCTGCTGCTAGTGCTGCTCGCAGTGCTGCTGCTAGCGCTGCTACTGGTGGTGGTGCTGCTGCTGCTGCTGATTTCTTCCCGAATAAAGAACTCGAATTCATAGGACCGGCGCGACCCCGATGCTGCTGCTGTTGCTGCGGCACCCATGCCACTGGCCCTGCTGCCTGCTCCTGTGATGTGCGCCGCTGCTAGGTACTCCTGCAGCAGCTGGAACGACCGCTCGTTGGCTGCCTGAGGTGGGGGGAGGGAGCGGGAAGGGAGGGAAGAGGGAGGGAACAGAACCGTTGAGACGCCTTAACAGTGATGTGCGCCGCTGCCACGCCTGCTGCTGAAACGACCGCTCATTGGCTGCCTGCGGTGGGGCAGAGGCGAAAGGGGGACGAGGGGAGGAGGGGGGAAAAGGGGAGCGGTTGCTTGAGATGGTGGCCGCAACAGCAGGCGTGGCAGCAAACAAGGAAGGCAGCACCAGCAGCACCAGCAGCAGCAGGCGTGAAAGGGAGAGGCGGAATGCGCAGCGGTAAACACCGCCACGTGGCGTGGGTGCAATGATACACAGGCACGCTCACTCGTTCGTGCGGGTGGTTATGGAGCGTGTCGGGATGCACTCGCTTGTAAAGCTGCCGCAGCGCGTCTTTCAAAGTCCACTCTCGTGCTTGCCCTTGCGCCTCGCGCTCCTGCTCCCGCTGCTGCTCTTGTTGCTGCTGCTGCTGCTGCTGCTGCTGCTGCTGCTGTTGCTGTCGCTGTTCTTGTCCCCAGCCATTGTTGTCTCTCCCGTTCCCGCCGCCACCGCCGCTGCTGCTGAAGAGCCTCCCGTGATAACATGATAGCGGAGAGGCTTTAAGCGGAGCGGAAAGATTGTCGCGCAGACAGGGGAACGGATGAGCGGTCAGCGGATCGGAGATAGTATCCCGCGGGTTGAGGGTAGGGTCTACAGTACTACATATGAGCGGGAAGGGCAACGGTCGCTGCGCGCGCGGCAGCAGGCGAAGCTGTAGCGCCGCGGCGAGGCGGAGCAGCGTGGAGTCCGCGCGATGCGCGACCATCGCAACGACCACTGTCTCGAAGGACTGAAATAGCGCGAATCTGCGTTTCTTGCCGCCTAAGTCGCAGGGATGGAGGGAATCGGAGGGCAATCAGGGAAGGTCTGGAATACCGCGCCTCAGGCTATGCAGTGCAACTAGCCTAGTTGGCTAGCCTTTGAATGTGACGTGATAGGTGATCTGGGGATCTGTTCAAGCAGATATTGGTAATCTGTGAGCTACTTGGAACTAAACACCATAAGGGATATTCGATTATCCATGTTACTGTATGTTTCCCTGTTTATGATGAGTACCATTTGTCCTGAGTATTCTCTCCTTATCGGTCGTCAATCTCTACGTTTTGTGTAGGCGAGTCTGTAACGCGAACGATGTTCCTCCAGACAATTGAGTGGCTCTGAAATATCCGGGCTGACACATTCACCATACCTGGGTTCCGGACCTGACGTCCACCCGAGACGCATCAGTAACTCCAGATTTGCCAGGCCGCCCAGATCCTCGACTCGCTCCAGATTTCACCTGGCGGGAATGGGTTTTCGAGCCCTATGTTCCCCCAAAACCTGCTCAGAACTTTGGCCCTGCGCCACTCACAGGCTCATGCCACGTCCATATTCGCCCTCCCAGCCACAAATGCGAAATCCACCTGCCACCTACCCACGTCTTGGTTACATGGTCAGCGCATCGTAACCGCACAGCCCGCACCGTCTGCGCCTGCCGAACCCACTGCTTGCTGCTGCCACAAGATTCGGGCAGTGCGCTTCGGGGAATATTTTGGTCACGATAAGCCAGCCAATGACGAGCGAGTCAAGCCATTCCAAGTGAAGACGCGGTGCGGATATTCTGAAATAGATGAATGAACGAACGAGAGAATTCGCCCCTCCCTCGTCTTGCCCTTCGTCTTCTTTCCATCAAAACAGACGTCGACATTGAATTCCCAGAATCCGAAGCATCATTGCACGTTTAGAAACAAGCTCGGAAAGCATACTTCACCGATTGGACCCCCAGAGAAAGGAATCCTAGAGAAGACGGCATTCCTTCCATTCTCCATGCGATGAACGCGAGTTGAGCGCACAATGAGGGACGGCCAAACAGATAGCCGCAGATATAGAAGCGGGGTCCCGCGACCTGCCACTGCGGAAGAAAAAGGAGAGACGCGGAATGACGCGCGCGAGTTGAGCACCAGCTTGAAGGTACAGGAGCGTCGGAGCCTTGCCCATCAGTTTCACCATCTCGCACGTAAGCTTCTACGAAACGTTGGCCGAGCCGCCAAGGCTGCGAGAGGCGTGATTTCAGGCACGCGTGCGACGACCCGCCCGTCAACCTCGTCGTCACGAACTGATGGTTCAATCGCACCAATCGAGAATTTCTCTACTTCTACTGCTGCTGGCGGTGCCGGCGTCATCCTTGCGTCAGACAATCGCATCGTGCGAGCTGCTTCGTCGCGGCACAACGAGCGGCGTGATGGCGCGCCTTGCAGCAATCATGCGGAACTTGACGTGTCGCCGGCGACGAGAAATCGCAGATCGTTACCGGCTGGCGCTCCGCTTGCAGCCGCGGCAACCGCCGCACTAGCAAGAGCTCTTGATGATGCTCCTCCTGCTCCTCTTTCTCCTGCTCCTGCTCCTCCTGCTCCTGCTCCTGCTCCTGCTCCTGCTCCTGCTCCTGCTCCTGCTCCTGCTCCTGCTCCTGCTCCTGCTCCTGCTCCTGCTCCTGCTCCTGCTCCTGCTCCTCCTCCTGCTCCTGCTCCTGCTCCTGCTCCTGCTCCTCCTCCTGCTCCTGCTCCTGCTCCTGCTCTGTCTCCTGCTCCTGCTCCTGCTCCTGCTCCTCCTCCTCCTCTTCCTCCTCCTCCTGCCGATGCGCCAACTTCCGTTCTTCCTTCTTCTATACCACTCAATACCAACGGTCATAATCGCGAATGCAGCTCGCCCGATAACCACTTGTTCACGGATTGCCGCACTTGTGGCAAGGAGGACAGTCACGACGGACGAGTTGATGGCGTTACCGCATTGAGCAGCAGCCGCCGACTGCGAGACGAATTGAGTACTTCAGCTGACGGCGAGGCGGATCGTGTTGGTGGCGTCGCGCCATCGGATGACGTCGCTTGCGGACACGATGGCGACAAGTACGACGGCGAATTGTCAATACGGTCGACTACGGCGACGATTGCGACGACGGCGGATCAACAACTCGTTGACCCCGCAGCGACATGTCAGCAACAAGCTGCGGCTACCGATTCAGCGCGCAGCCACCCGAAGAGACCACACGACAGCAATGCACCAGCTGATATTGAAGAAAGGAGTTCCGAAGGGCAACTTACAACGATGGCGGCGGAATTCGTAGCGGAACCGGCGGCGGGAGAGGTGGCGGGAACGGCGGCACACGCCGGTGCGGATCCAGCGGCAGAAGCGGTGACGACCCAACTCTCTGTCCTTCGGGGCGAAGGGGTGACGGTCGAGCCGTGCGCGTCGTGCGCGTCGTGCGCGTTGCGCGAGCGGGAACAGACTGTTCCTGTTCTTCTAGCGCGCCCTTCTGCCCACCTCCCGCATCCTTCGGCGGAGGCGAGCTCGCTCGCCCTGACGGTCCGAAACGCTGCCGTGGCAGCCAGAGGAGTTGCTTCGGTGCTGGCGAGGCACGGTGTAGCGAGGATGGCGGTGCTGCGGCTGCTGCTGCTTCGCAAGGCTGTGGGCTGTCAGCCGCCGCGCGTGGCCGAGGAGGAGTGTGACGCCAACCAGCTTCCCTGCTTTGGCCTTGTGAGTTGACTATACTTGGAAATACCTCCCTCTTTCCTCCCTTCTCTCTCTCTCTTTCTCTCTCTCTCTCTCTCTCTCTCTCTCTCTCTCTCTCTCTCTCTCTCTCTCTCTCTCTCTCTCTCTCTCTCTCTCTCTCTCTCTCTCTCTCTCCTCTCCCTCTTCTCTGCCCCAACTCTCCCCACCTATCCCCCAGCTTTCCTCCGTCTCTGCCTCCCACACCCCTCCTGTTTCGCGCCTTTGCTCTTTGCAGTCGGCCTCCTTGTATTGGCTCGTCTGCTTCGTTCTACGATCTGATTTGCCCTCCGATTCTGATGACCCTTGCTCTCTCGTGATTCATCCTGCGCTGTGTGCCACGTGTCGCGCTCTGTGTGCCACGCGCCCCGGGCTGTCGCAGGAGCTGCTGCGCGCCTTGTGCGGCATTCGGCCAAAGCGCGTGCGGGGGACGCGGAAGACGCGGGAAGGTGGACGGAGAGAGGGCACCAGCCGGGTTCGGCGGCGGCAGGCATCTCGCCTGCGACGAACGGACGGCGGAGATCTGCGGAGGCAAGTCAAGGGGCGCCACGCGCGGACGGGCAGAGATGAATTCGACTCGTCAGATGATGAATCGAACAGTGATTGTGAAGAAGAGACGGAGGGAGGGGAAGAGGCGGAGGTGGAGGGGGATACTGAACGAAGCAACACGGTTGCCGTGAAGAACATGGGGGGCGGGGGGGATGAGGGAAGTGAGGAGTCTGGGGATAACAAGTCGGCACTATCCCTGCCATTGTCGCTGGCAGTGGCGGAAGCGGCGGAAGCAGCGGATTTATCAGAGGCAGCGGGCGCAGCACAGGCAGCACAAGTTGCCGGGCTGCAGCTCTCTCTCTCCGAGGCCCAGCAGCGTGTCAACTCGCTCGTACGCGAGGTGCAGATGACACGCCACGTCATCGAGATGACACGGGCCGAGAATGCTGCTGACGCGGGCGCTGACGTGGATGCTGACCTGGCAGCCGTGGAGGAGATGGTGGAGCGGCTGGCACGCGGCGTGCAGATCCGAGAGGAGATCCAGTCGAAGCTGGATGTGGCCAATCGGAGGATTGCTGAGCTGGAGGCTGTGAATGCTGAGCTGGACGCGGAAGCAACGCGGTGGCGCCACGTGGCGGAGATGCTGAGTGCTGAGCTGGAAAGGGCGACGCACTCAAAAAGAAGGGAGGCGCCTGAAATTTCCATGGCTCCTCCATTATCTCCTACTAAGGAGGAAGATGGAGCAACAGAAAAAGTGGTGGAGAAAGCAGAGGAGGAAGATGGGGAGAGAGCGGAGGAGGGAGCAGTGAAAGCAAGGACACAAAAGGAGCGAGAAGAGACAGAAGCGCGCCGATTGGTCGAGAGTGTCAACACACGCATGGCGGCGATGGGCCTGGAGCTTGACACGTGGCGGGAGACGACACGTCAGCTGCGTGCCAGCCTGGAAGTGGCGCAGAAGAGGATTCAGGAGCTAGCGCAGGTGGGGAGGGAGGTGGCATCCCTGCAGGTGCAGCTGGTGGCGGCGTATGCGAGGATTGCTGAGCTGGACCGGGCCGTTGCTGAGCTGGAAGCGGAGCGGCATGCGCTGGAGGATGACCTGGCGTGCGCACGTGGCGTGGTGGGGGCTGTGTCGGCGAAACTGGTGGGTGTGGTGCGGGAGAGGGAGGCGATGAGGGGGCGACTGATGGCCATGATTCAACAGTACGGGGGGGAAGAAGGAAGCAGGGGAGGAAAAGAAGGGGAGACGAAAGGGGAAAGGGACGAGGAGCCTGGGGTGAAACAGCAGCAGCGGGAGGAGGAGCAGCAGGAGGAGCAGGAAGAAGGTTGCACTTCCTATGGCGATGGGGAGCGAGGGGATGAGGAGAGCGACGACAGCCAAGGCATGGAAGAGGGCCTGGTGGGGGGTGAAGTGATGGCGCGTGATGAATTGGCGGGCGAGGAAGTGAGAGATGGTGGGGAGAGGAGTGAGAGTGCGTGTGGCAGGAGCTGCAGCAGCGGTGCGCTGGATGAGGGTGATGGGGAGAAGCGCGGAGGGGAAGGGGTTGTGGGGAGGGGTGTGGGGGAGCGGTCGCAGGTGCGGGCTGATGAAGGGAGTGAGGAAGAAAGTGAGCGTCCGAGTGAGGGAGGGTGTGAGGATGTGAAAAGGAGTGAAGGAGGGAATGATGAAGGGAGTGTGGATGGGAGAGATGAAGGGAGTGAAGAAGCGAGTGAGGAGGCAAGAGCTGCACAACAAAAGTTGGCAACTCTTGAGTCGTTTGAAGCTGTGGCAACCGAAGTGGGTAGGACCGAGCGGGGTGCGAGGGCGATGGGGAGCGAGGAGATGGCGATAGAAGAGGGAGCGGTGGAGGAGGAGGGGGTGCAGGAGGGAGGGTTGGAAGGGACGGAATTGGAGGAGGTAGAGGAGAAGGTAGATGAAGAGGGTGGGACGGGATATGCAGACGGAGTGGTCGAGTGCGATGGAAAGGAGAAAGGAGAAGGTGGCGAATGGGGGAACGGGAAGACAGGCGAGGGGAAGGTAGAGGAAGGAAATGCAGGGGATGGGAGAATGGGCGATGGGAGAATGGGTGATGGGAGAATGGGTGATGAGGAGCGCATGCCTGGCATGGCTTGCACGCATGGAACTCGAGAAGGGAGAGGAGAGGGAGGTGGAGGTAGTAGGACAGGTGGGAGAGGAGACCAAGTATGGATGCGAGGGAGGGGATGGCGGGGAGGAGGAGGAGGGCGTGGGGAGGCAAGAGAGGGTTGCTCCGTGGGAGGAAGTGGGGCAGTGAGGAGGCATGGTGCTGCTGGCTCTGGGAGGTGGGTGAAGGGTCGGGGGAGGGGTGAGAGGGGAGAGAGGAGTGAGAGAGGAAGTGGGAGAGGAAGGGGTAAAGGGTGGGGATGGGGATGGGGCAGGGGCAGGGGAGGGAATGGGGAGTGGCAGCGAGGGGAGTGGTCTTCACGTGGGCTGACCCAGCCATTGCCTCCCCTTCCTCCTCTTCTCGCTCTGCCTCCTTCGTCTCTTGGCTCCCAGTCTTCAAGTGCCGATTCTCCCCTTCAAAGCAGCGGCAGCAGCGGAAGCAGCAACAGCAGCGGCAGGCAGAGCAGCAGGGGAAGCAGGAGAAGCACGGGCGCTGAAGGCTACTGGAACCGAGTTGGAAACGAGTGGCATGCCAGCCTTGCTGCTTCAGGTGGTGGTGGCGGCGGTGGTGGTGGTGGCAGAGGGCGGGGGCAGGGTAGGAGGAGTGAGGACGGGGGAAGATGGCGGCCATTATTGGATGAAGATGGTGACACTCCTGCTGGGATGTCTGCGAGTGCTGGTGAAAGAGGATGCAACAGAGAAGCTGGTCTGTGGAGAGGAAGAATGCATGGGGAGCTGCACAGGGAACTTACAACTCTTGGAACGGCTCAGAAGCAGAGCAGGCCAGAGGAGGAGGGAGCGTGGCAGGTGGTGCTGTGGTCTGCTTGTGAATCCCGAACTGCGGGTGGAGCACAGCAGCATGACCAGCAGCAGCAGCAGCAGCAAGTTTTTTCCCCTCAGGTGTCCACTTGCTGTGCTGCTGCTGATTCACCTCTCTCTCTCGCCGCCCACCCCTCCTCTTCTCCCTCTCTCTCTCCCTCCTCTTCTCCCAGCCTCCTTTCCTCTGATTCCAACTCTCCTGATCTCATTACCCCTCCTCTCACCCTCTCGTCCTCGCCTCCTCTCATCTCTCTGTCTCACCACTGGAAGAGTGAGCATACCTCTCACGCCTCTCACACCTCTCACACCACTCATCCCTCTCACACCTCTCACACCTCTCACACCTCGCACACTTCTCCCTCCTCCGCCTCGTCCTCTCTGCTCTTCTCCTCCCCTGTCTCCTGCTCCTCGTCCCCAAGCGACCGGTCCTCTCTGGCTAGTAGTGAGCTGGGAAGTATCCTCCGTACAAGCGATGACAGCATGCTTCGATCCAGCAATGAGAGCAACAACAGCAACGACAGCAATGACAGTAGCGACAGTAACGACAGGTATGACAGTAACAGCAGCGGCGGCAGCGGCGGCGGCAGCGGCGGCGGCGGCAGCGGTGGCAACAGCAGTGACAACAACACAGAGTTGTGTCTGTTCGAGGGGGTAACATCGGAGACTGTGGTGTGAGTGGGCGTAGCAGAGGCGGCTGCTGTTGCAGTAGCATCAGCGCTGGTAGCAGGAGTGGCTCGCATCGGTGGGTGCAGAAGCAGCAGCAGCAGCAGCAGCAGCAGCAGCAGCAGCAGCAGCAGCAGCAGCAGCAGCAGCAGCAGCGGCGGCGGCAGCACACACAACGCCAGCGCGGCAGTGAGTAGCATACTCATTACTGTACTCGTGCCTGACGGCGATACAGCTGTGTAAGGATTGGATTGACAACTAGACCAGGGTTGTGCTCCGTGCAGTGACCAGGGCTCTGGGGCACTGCAATGAAGGTCAGAGGTTTGGGTACGGGGGGGGGGTTAACACAAAGGGAGTGCAGTGGGCAACTTAGACCCGGGTATGGCAGGGGGATTTGGAAACACAGGATATTGAGTTAGGGGGGTGATTGTTTAGAAGGTGGGTGAGAAGGGGAGGACAGGGAGGGACTGGGAGGGACGGGTGTTGTAGCGGGGGGTGGAGGGGGGTGGAGGGGGGTTGAGGAGGGTGTGGGATGGGTAGTGGGGTTAGAGGGTGGTCGAGAGGGGTAGAGGAGGGTTGAGGGAGGTAGAGGAGGGTAGAGGGAGGTAGAGGAGGTTCTGAGGGAGGTAGAGAGAGATAAAGGAGGGTTGAGGGAGGTAGAGGAGGGTAGAGGGAGGTAGAGGAGGGTAGAGGGAGGTAGAGGAGGGTAGAGGAGGGTAGAGGGAGGTAGAGGAGGTTTAGAGGGAGGTAGAGGAGGGTAGAGGGAGGTAGAGGAGGGTAGAGGGATGTAGAGGAGGGTAGAGGGAGGTAGAGGAGGGTAGAGGGAGGTAGAGGAGGGTAGAGGGAGGTAGAGGAGGGTAGAGGGAGGTAGAGGAGGGTAGAGGGAGGTAGAGGAGGGTAGAGGGAGGTAGAGGAGGGTAGAGGGAGGTAGAGGAGGGTAGTGGGAGGTAGAGGAGGGTAGAGGGAGGTAGAGGAGGGTAGAGGGAGGTAGAGGAGGGTAGAGGGAGGTAGAGGAGGGTAGAGGAGGTAAAGGAGGGTAGAGGGAGATAGGTGGCGACATAGGAGGGTAGAAGCAGAGAGGGCGGCGCAGAGGGGGGGGTGCTGGATATGAGGGTGAGTTGAGAGAAATATGGAGAGTTATAGAGGTCTGGGCGACATGTAGTGGGGGGATGTATTGGGCAGAAATGTTAGGGAGGGATATAAGACAGTAGAGGGGGATACGGGCAAGTAGAGGGGGATAGAGCAGGTACAAGGGATAACAGAGGTGGAGGGAATGTTAGGAGGTATAGTGATGAGGCAGGTTGGATAGAGGGGGTAGAGGGGGGTAGGTAGGCAGCGGGGGAAGAGAGGATATATCATGCATGCAGAAATGACAATGTGTTAGAGTTGGTATGCATAGGGAACCTGAAGGGTGCATTTGTAGACTAAATTATGAAGTTTTATAGCCATGTTACATGTAAATGAGAAGGCATTTTGGCGGTTGGTTCTCTTCATGAATCCGAATGCTAGTAGAGGTCAATATGGTTTGGGAGATTGAGAATTTCAATTATTTGTTCATTGTGGTTTTGATGCATTGTGCATTGTCAAGGACATTAATGCTGTCATAGCAACCAAGCTACCTGTATTATTATGTTCAATGAGTGTTCTTGTTTGATCTAGTGTATGAGGAGCTATGCAGAGTTACAATCAAGGAGATGCCCCTGCTGATATTGTCAGCCGTGACTTTAGGAGTATTGATGTCGTGGCAAGCTGCCACCTAATTACCACCTCGTGCTGCTTGCTAATTGGGTAGCCACATCATCCCAACCTTCAGATCAGCTGGGCCAGCTTGGTGGCCCACGTCACTCGCATCTACTTTGCCAACAAGGCAACCAACCATAACCTTTCCGAAAAATGGCAGTGTGACTACCGAAACACACACATACCCAGTTTCGGTTAACTTCGCCTAAACCCGATAATCAGGTGATAATTAACTGGCGAAAGTGTGCCGAAATTACATGAAGTCACCCGTTTTCGTTGACCTGTTTCTGGCACCTTCTATCGGCGCTTCTTCCCCATGGTCCTATCCTATTCCATATGCTTGTTCCAGGGGCAATCATCGCCACCATTTTGGACCATTCCAGAATTCTCTTAGAAATTCCCTAATCAGAGCCATTTTACATTTCTACATTCATTTCTCAGGTTCCGGTGCCCCTTACCAGACTGCTCGACCAACCCTCTGATTCAGAACTGCATATCCTTACGCTATCGGCTCACCGGATTAAAGCTTGACTAGCTTAACTACTGTTTTGAGTTGTTTGAGCTTAGGTAGTGTTGTTGTGAAAGCGCGTTGCCTTTCCTTGTAATAAAAAATGGAGGCTCTAGTGTACAGTGTCTCCGTGCCCCTGGCCGCTTCTATGGCGGCTGGTCCCGCGTCTGTGGCCGTCCGCAGACAAGGAAACACAAAACACACATTTCTCCGCCATGGATGCGATGCGTTGTCGCAGCTCTGCCGACCATCAACTCGGCTGCCCTCACAAAGTAAGTACCTCTTCCCCCCCACCCCTCGTCTAAGCCTTTTTTCTCTCGCCATTCTGATACGATCTCTACCGCTTCATTTTATAGTGCATTTTTTCAGAAAACTTATGAGAAGTTACCACTTCCTCCTTCAGCCTTCATCGTGCCTAATCACCCTTCTTTTTCGTCATTACTGTTTCCGCCTCTATTTCCGCCGTTATTTTCGGTTTGATTCGCGTTCGCTCCTCTCCGTTCACAGGGAGCCGCGTGGTTATTCGCGCGGCCGAAGGTGACGACGCTGGAGATGCAGCACCGGCGGCAGCCGCGGCAACCGTACCAACAACGGCGGAAGATCCTCTGGCGTACAAGCACCTCCTTCTCCCCATCATGGACCGCAATCCGTTCCTGAACGAAGCTACACGACAGGTACTGTTTTCGTTTGTCTATTTTTTCGGAGGGAGAGAAGAGAGAAAGGGGGGGGGGGGGGGGGAGTTGGTGGGGGGTGCGATGGCTCGTATTCGAAATGACGTGTTAGGGTGATGGTTGAAAGTGGGTGACAAGCTGACGAGATCTTACAATGCTTGCTTGAATGTTTAAGCAAGGGAAAAGAAACGAGAGCGACGTTGTAATTGCGGCGGGCATTGTTGTTGAGAAACTCTTGGCAATAGAGTTTGTTAATCAACGATCAATACGACAAATGTGATTCTTATACGTATCGATATGACGACTCCCTCCGCTTATCTCGCCCAGCTCGTCTGATCTCAACCATTTCAACCTGTCTTTTCTTTTCTGTGTGCGCGTATCAGGCTATCGCCACGGCCACCGCCATGGCCAAGAGGGGCAGCGCCGACATCACTGTCGTCGGTACGTCATCTAGTCGAGTTGTACGGTGAAAGGAGAGGAATGGGTGAGGGTGAGGGGGATTCTGGATGTGGGGTGTTTACCGTGTTAGTGCGTCCGTGCTAGCAGACGCACGTACGTCGTCTCTTTTTGAGGCGCCTCAAAAGCTACAGACGCACCAACCCTCGTCTGATTTGTCTGCAAGTGGTTTCGTTTCCACTTGCGTTGTTCACACGACATCTCATCTCAACCTGCATGCTTGCCATCTCGGCGTTCTCGCGCGCGGTGTGGTGCAGTGATCGACGAGGACCAATCGGAGACCAAGGACGAGCACAACCAGCGCCTCGAGAGCATCCGCTTCCACCTCGCGCAAGGTCAGTGCGCAGCACAGCCACGCCAGCAGTCTATTTGTGTGTGATTGATCTGGGGGGGGGGAACCGAAACCGTCAATGCAGATTGTCTTTAGCAATGTCGGCTTTCTTCGGGCACAGTGTGTTCAGGATGGCACACACGTGTCATGCAGGACAGTTATGTTTTGACCGAAGAGTAAATTCTCCCTCCCCCCATCCAGCCACGTGTTAACACATGCTTATTACCGGAGAGAGAGAGATGCACTGTCGATAGTGGATAACGTACCAGACGCATATTTTCATGGGCAGCTCAAGTCGTGACAGCCTACCAACCGGAATCAGGGCTTTCTGGTGATGTGCTGCCTTCTCATTCTCGTCTGATCCTAACCATTACGTCATCTGAACACTTCCTCGCCTATTTTTTTTCTCCACAACTCGACTTCACCCTTCATTCTCGTCTCTCCTTCCTCTTCAGTCATACCCCCCTTAGAAAAGCGCACTTCCTTTCTCTTTACTGCGCCCCCGTCAAATCCCCTTCTCATCTCATCTCCGCCAGGCGGCTTCTCGGACTTCTCGCTGCTTGAGCGGCTGGGAGAGGGCAAGATGCCAGCAGCGGTGGTGGGGGAGATAGCAGACGACCTGGAACTGGACCTGGTGGTGATGAGTATGGAGGCCATTCACCACAAGCACGTTGACAGCAACTTGCTTGCCGAATTCGTCCCCTGCCCCGTGCTCCTGCTGCCACTCTAGAGTCTAGACCCCCGCCCAGGCTCTATTTCCTGCCTTGCCCGGCCCTGTCTTGCCCCTGTCTTGCCTTGCCATCATACACATAGGCAGGCCATGGTGTAGCCTATGCTTTTGTCCTGATAGTGGATGATATTGCCACACTGGAGTGTTGAGATGCTAAAAACAGGTTTCCTCCAGTGATAATAAATTGAGTAACAAAACAGAAAAAACCGAACAGCAGAGAATAATCTACAGTGTACCGAAACTAAAGGGTAACATAACTACATCTTATGCAGGCTTGAAGCGGGGAGTGAGCACCCGTGCCAACACAGAGTCAACAGATGAGATGAAAATGATGAGGACGACAATAAAGAGGAATGTGAGCAATGTCACAGTGATCTGCAGGACAGCGGCAGGGTGAGGGGATAGACAAAATGCCTGTGAGATACAGATGCCACGCGAGTAGCCGCCAACGGACCCCCACACAAGGAAGCCACCAGAAAGGGAGTGAGGCTGGTTGGGACTACGGGTGGTGAGAGGTGGAGCAGTAGCAGCAGGGAAGATGGAAAAAGAAGAAACCAAGGAATGTGGTGTGGATATAAAGCGACAAAGCAACAATGCACGCCTGGAAGAAAGCGAGGCCACGACAACAAGCATGAAAGACCAAAGACATCCCTTGAACATGACTTCTTCCCGCACACACGTCCCTGGCTGCGAGTGAGTGAGTGAGTGAGTGAGGGACGGACCATCTCTTTCCAGGAGGGGAAGCGGACAAGGCGGAACTCCTCGGGCTGTTCTGTGATGAGGCGCCATAGCCGCCTTGCCACGTCCCCTGGCATGCTCATCACCTCCCGCATTCGCTGCTCCAACTGCCTGCCCATTGGGGCGGGGGGAGGGCAGGGGAGTGGTGGCGGGAGGGGAAGATTGAGGGGGGAGGGGGAGAGAGACAGAGAGGAAGCGGACAGGGTTCTGTTGGAAGTAGCGAAGTGAAACTCGTCCCCGGGCATGCTCATCACACCTCTCATGCGCTGCTGCAACTGCCAGCCCATTGCGGTCAGGGGAGGGCGAGATGCCACATCCATATTGCTGCATCCATATTGCTGCATCCATATGGCTCAGCAACCCCACCAGCTGCATCATACAACATCCCACCGCATACCTCCTCCATCGTACCTCTTACGTCGCATCTCTTCTCTTCCCCTCCGTCGCCCAGCCAAAACTCTCCGTGCTGCCTACACAGTCGCGACTCGGGACTCACTCTTCATAAGTCGGTGTGGGCTTGGGTGGCGGCCGGTTGCTGTAACCATACGCGTATCCTCCGGGATTCCCGCCGTCATTCGCGGCGGGATTACCGCTGCTTGCGCCTGCGTGGAGCCCATCCCATCTGCGCGTGCCGGCGCGCCATCTCCCCCCGCTCCCCCCGCCCCCCCCCGCTTCTTCCGAACAAGGACCAGTCGAGAGGCGTCCCTATTCCGACTTGCGAAGGTTTGGATGGAAAGGCGTGTTTCGCGCGGACCGCGAGTTGCGGGTAGGAAGCGCCGGGAATGTTTGTATGCAGAGAGGGTTTCTGATTTGAGTCCGAAGGTTGTGTTTGAGTGGCGACATGGCGGGTGGTGGAGCTGGGGACGGTAGAGAGCAGAGAACTTGCGCACCGGAGCGCCATCGTCGTGACCGTTGCGCTGACGCGAGGCGCGCACGACAACCGGACCCGGAGAGAGGGCGGAGGGAAAACGGATGAGTAATTCGAAATCGCTCGCGATCCACGCTAGTAGGTGGATGAATATTGCCTGCTGTCTGCTCAAGGGCGCTGCCAGAGCACAGGCAGGTTCATTTGCTAGACCATGCGTGGTGGTGCAGTGCGATGGAATGAGGTGCAGTAGAAACGGAGGAAACAGCCATGAGCGATAGCTTTTGCATTTTCATATCGGGCCATTTTTTATACCGAGTAAAAAATATTTGTAAGATCGTTGTCAAACGAATTCCTCTACATCGAGCATTTTGAATCTTAATGCAAGCGATGTGGCTACTGACTCTCTTCATGCCCTTCCCAAGCAATGTTGAATACCCGTATTAGTTGCACGCTGCTCAATTAAAACCAGGGTCTCACGTAAGGAAAATTGTCATCAACTGCAAAACAATTGATGCTGAGTCACCCTGTTTGAGGTGGCGAAGTCTAGGGATTGGTCTGGCAATTGACTGTGCGACACCTGACGTTTTTGCCTCTGAAGCAATTGCAAAACATTTCCCTGGTACATGAGACTTTCGGGATGCTCGCACAAATTGCTGGCCTCTGAAGCCTCTGAAGCAATTCTTACGCTGTCAGGCGTCGCGCGACTCGCATTGCATTCTCGCGAATCCCCGATTCCTCTCGCCGCGCGATTCAACGTCCATGCACCATGGCCGGCCATCCACTACCGCACCACTCCACCCGTTCCTCTCGTTCTAGCCGTTGCAACCATTCGAGCCCCTCACATGAGTGCTGCAGTCGTGAACACAGTGCCTGCGACCATGATTGCAGCTGTGCCGATTGCCGGCCGCTGGGTGATTGCCGTCATCAGGACGGCAACGTGGCGGCGATGGCGGCCGCGGTGCGGCAAGGCCGGGTGTCGCGGCAATCCCTAGAGCGGCACTACCGGGGCAAGTGCGTGCAGCTGAATCCGGAGATTAACGCCGTCTGCCACCTCGCGCGCGCGACTCCAACTCCAACTCCACCACCGCCGCTGCTATCTGCGACTCCTATACCTCTATTAGTAAACTCAGGAACAGCTTCAGGAACAGCTTTAGGAACAGGGGCGTTAGGAGCGTCAGCTGACAGTGGTGATGCTCTTCCGTCTGCTGCTTCCGTCGAGCGGCCTCTTGAGGGTGTGCCCTTCCTCGTCAAAGGTACCCTTCTGCACATCCTTCTTCCCTTCTCGTCCCATCCATTGAGGGTGGACTATGCCACTGTCTCATCCATATTCCGCTGCTCCCTTGTACCCTCTTCCCCTCACCTATTATTCTCCCCAAGCCCACCACCCACACCAGACCTGGTGCATGTGGAATGGAAGGTCTGCCAACAGCGTGTGTTTCCTGCAAAACACCACTTCCGACTCAACCCGAGTCAACCTGAGTCAACCCGAGTCAACTCAAAACACTTCCCTTCTTTTCCATCGCCTCGCCCCCCGCCAGACCTGGTGCACGTGGCAGGTCAGCCCACAGCATGTGGCGACGAGCGACTAGCGGCCCAGCCAGCTCCTCCCACCTCTGCCTCTGCCGTCTCCCTCCTGCAATCCCTCGGTGCCGTGCCCCTTGGCAAGACTAACGTGCCACATGTGAGTGCCATGCATGCCATGCGACTTGTGAGTCAAATTATAGTTTGCCCCGTGTGATATGAGTGCCATGAGATTGAGGCGCCTCGGAAATAGCTGTCGTATCTCTCGTGCAATCGCTCACTCAGTGCCGTGCCCCTCTGAGTGCCATGCGCCCATCACCCCCATCACCCCCATCACCCCCATCACCATCCCCCAAACCATCACCCCCCTCGCCCTCATCTCCCCAGTAGCCCCCATCGCCCCTATCACCCTCCCATCATATCCTCAGCATACCTTTTCTATTTCCATCCCGTCCCCTGTCCATCGCCACAACCCCATCAGCTATCAATGGACTTTCAGACGTTCAACAGCCTGTTTGGCGTTACCAGCAACCCTATCAACCAATCACTCACACCTGGGGGAAGCTCAGGAGGTGACTCCTCGTGCTCTCATGCCATGCTGTGCTACACCACACCACACCAATCCAGACCACACCATACCATTCCATTCCATGCCATGCCATGCCATTCCATGCCATGCCCCACTGTGCCATCCCATCATTTCTCACTGTCCCACAGTCCCTCACTCACTCTGCACTCTCGTGCATGCCATTTCTCACCCATTTCCCCCTCCCCCATTCCCCCTCCCCCATTCCCCCTCCCCCCATCCCTCCTCCGCCCTTCTTCTCCTCTCTCCTCTTCTGTGTGTGTGCATCATCAGGGTCAGCAGCAGCGGTGGCAGCAGGCATGGTGCCCTTTGCTCTCGGCACTGACCTTGAGGGCTCCCTTCGACTGCCGGTCAGTGCCGCACTCTTGCTGCTGCTGCTGCCACTGCCTCTATGCCTCTCTGCCACACTGCCTCTATGCCTCTGCCACACTGCCTCTATGCCTCTCTGCCACACTAACGCACCACTAGTCTGCTCCTGCTATCCCTTGCATCCTCCCGCTTCCCCCTCTCATGCTCCCTCTCATCACGGCCCTCTCCTGTCTCATACACCTCCTCTTCCACCAGCATCCCTCTCCCTGCCGCTCCACCACCCCGCAAGCATTACCACTCATCATGGCATTTACTCGCGCTGTGCTGCCCATCTCTTTTTGAAGCACCTCATTCCTCTACCTCTCACTCAACCTCTAACGCATGGTGAATATGAGCCTTCTTTCCACCCTCCCACTCACCGTTGGATGTCCTCCTCTCGTCCCTCTCTTCCGCACACACCCACTTTAACTTGGCATTCCTCCCTTCTCCTCCCTCCCCTCCTCCACCCCACCAGGCGTCCTTCTGTGGCATCTGTTCCCTGCGCCCCTCGCGTGACCGCTGGCCAGTGCTTGCCAGTGACGTACCTCTCCCATCGCTCGCCCTCCTCTCATCCCTGCACACGTACGGCGTCTTCACTGTCAGTCCCTCCTGCCGCTTCCCCTCATGCTATGTTCAGTCACTCACCACATGCCCGTGTTCGTAATTTCTTCTCTCATGCCTCATAGCCTACTTGTGGACTTCCTCTCAGTCACCGCACCTCACTTCACCGCACCTCACCTCACCGCACCTCACCTCACTGCAACTCACCACACTTCACCTCGCCTCGCTGCACGGGGAGCCTGTCATCGTTTCTGTCAAACTTGTTCTCGCTTCGACACTTTCCCTCCATCCTCTCCTCCCCTTCCCCGTACCCCTCCCCCCTGCCCTTCCTCTCCCCCTCTTCCCCATCTTTCCCCCTTTCCCCCCAACCCCCCTGCTCCCCCTGCTCTCCCTCTTCCCCTCCCCAGCGCACCATGCGGGATCTCCACTTCATCATGACAGCTGTCGTCTCCCGCCTCCCACCTCCACTCCGCCCTTCCCTTCCAACTCAACCACCTCCTCTCTCCCCTCCTCCCCATCCTCTGCCACCCTCACATCTCCCTCCTCCTCCTCTCCGTGTGGCTTTGTCCCTGCATCTCCCCGGCTCGCCTATCGACTCACGTGTCTCATATCTCTTCCGAGCGCTTGCCGCAACCTCCGCTGCTGCCACGGGCGGTGCAGCCGTTCCAGGCTGCGCTACTACTGTGGCTTTCTCGGATGCTGAAAATGCTTCTGGTGGTGGTAGTGCGTGCAGAGAGCAGCAGCAGCAGCAGCAGCAGCAGCAGCTGCGCCCGCCACAGAAGTATGAGAACGGGCGTCGCGTGGAGTTTGTGTTGGTGGAGGCTCCGAGGCTGGACTTTAGAGCTCTGGACAAGGCATCCAAGGTGGGCCATGGGTGGGTCATGTGCACTTTTAAAGTCGACTTAGAAGTCAAGCCCATGTGTACTACATGCAGTGATAGGCTTGTGAGGTGTTGCAGAAATTTTTTGAGACGTCTCAAAAGACGTGTGAGGTGTTTCAGAAACCAGCGAATCCAATGAACGAAACTAGCAAGCTCAATTGCTAACGTGAGCTTATCTTCAGAGGAATCTGTGAAGTTTACCAAGTGTATGTGACTTTTGAGGCGCCTCAAAGGTCTTCAGAGAAAATTGTGAAGTCTACCAAGTGAATGTGTCTTTCTTCTGGAGATCGATTTATAGGTCACTTATGATTTGAGTCCATCACTCACTTCCATAGGCCTGTTGTAAATGTTTCACATCTGATAGTCTCGCATAAAATGTTTCACTCTTTATGGGTCAACTCAAAGCTCATCCCCTCTCTCTGCTTGTCTCTCTCGCCTGCACGGCTCTCTTGCATGTGACTCCAGGCGTTCATCTTTGCAGCGCACCAGCTCGGTGGTGGGAAGAGCAGTAAACATGGCCCGGGCGATGCAGCACAGCATGCTAGGAAGAGCTTGGAGGAGGAAGCGGAGGCGGAGAGGGAAAGGGAGAGGCAACTGTGGGAGGCGGAAGTGGTAGCAGCACGGAGGACACAGGAGCAGCAGCAAGCAGTGTTGGATTCGTTTCTGTCAGAGAACCAGCTAGCTGCTTGGATTTTACCAGGTGCTGTGCCGGCTGCAGAAAGTGTGTTTTTGAGACGCTTCATAAATACACTTTCTACACGTGGCTATCTGACAGAGAATCAGCTAGCTGCTTGGATTCTACCAGGTGCAGTGTACCGAATTTGGAGGCGCCTCAAAAACCTACCAGGTGCTGTGTGCCGACTTTCACACTGCTCGAGTTTTCGAGTCGTCGTCTTGAAATGACCAAGAACAACATATTTCTAGGTGCTGTTTTCCATTCCTCCTCAAGCTGCTTTCCTAGCGCTTCCAAAAGACATGTGTCTGCCTGACACGCTCCCTGCTGCGCCTCCGATTTCCTTCCCCTCTCTTTCTACCTTCCCCATCCGTGTCCACTCCTTTCCTTCTCTTCCACTCTCCCTGCTCCCATTCCCATCTTCCTTCCCCTGCAGTCGCCTCTGTCCTGCCATTCGCCCACAACCCCCAGCACTCGCCTCTCACAATCCCAGTCAGCAGCAACAGCAGCAGCAGCAGCAGCAGCAGCAGCAGCAGCAATAACAAGCAGGCAGCAGCAGGGCAGGAGACACAGCAGGTCCCATACCCGCGTGCCCTGCGGTCCTTCACAGTGCCTCTCACTGTCACAGGTCACCCCGTGGTCAGCATGCCCCTTGGCTGGGTGGATGGGCTTCCATGCGGCATGCAGGTGGGGCTGAGGGGAGGGCGGGGGAAAGGGCAAGGGTGGGGAGAGCGGCAAAAGGGGAAGGGGTGGTGTGGGGGGTGGGGCTGTCACGGGCCAACATGACCCCGTGGTCAGCATGCCCCTCGGCTGGGTGGATGGGCTTCCATGTGGCATGCAGGTGGGGGATATGGGAGGGGGTGGGAAAGAGGGTAGAACGGTAGTGCATGCATGGCTCCGTTCTGCATGTCTCCGTTCTCTCAGCACAGCATTTTCTCATCTCTCAATGCCTTCCCCGCTCCCTACTCTCCCCTCCTCCTTTCCCTCTCCCTCTGTGCATGCGCATCACCAGGTGGTGGGGCACATGGAGCAAGACATCCCGCTGTTGCACCGCTGCTGTTGCATGCTCCTCAAAAATAGGCTCCTCTTTGCTCCTCTCCCCCGTCTCCCTCTGTGCATGCGCATCATCAGGTGGTGGGGCACATGGGCCAGGACATCCCTCTGTTGCACCTCTGCTGCCGCATTGAAGCGCACCTGCAACAGGTTGGGTTAGGTCTGGGACCAGGACTGGGTATGGAACAAGGGGGAAAAGTTGCCGCCATCATGTGTTCCCCGCCTCCCCTCTTTGCCCGTCCAGTACGCAGCTGCCTCTGAGACTGACACATTAGTCCAGTACGTCTTCTTCCAGTTAGGTTTTGCTATTTCCAGGTCATGTTGTGTACATTCAACTGTTTGATTTGAAGACTTTGTAAGACATCAGGATTTGGAGTTTGAAAGGAAGATTGTTTGTTGTGGGGTGCCATCTTGTGCTGCTGTTGCCAGCGGGGTTGAGCAGAAGAAAGGCATCTGCTGTCGAGAAATCACAGCAGACATGCATTCTGTACCTGACCATGAAGGAAGTGTGCATATCCCATACCAATTCCGGTGACTACCCTGTACGATACGGTATCTCGTGTCATCATTTCTGCAGGCAGTAGTGGCACCCATCAAAGGCAAGCGCATTCTTAATGATGAATCCAACATGAGACAGCAGGGAGAGCACCGAGCATCTACCACCAGCAGCAGCATCGCTAGGTAAGGAATCAGCAGGGTCTCAACTCAACAAGCAGCTTCATCACCAGCATCACCAGCATCACCACCAACATCCATGAAGCACGAAGCCGCAAGACTACCATTCCTCGCCCGCTCACTGACCACCTTCCTGCAAAAGTCCACTCCGCAATGCCCTATAAACTGCTGCACCGTGCGCTGTGTCCCCACTCCCACTCGCAAGCAGCCAGCAGCAGCACTGGCACACACATCAGGTGCTGCAGAGGGAGCGGCAACAGAACTAGCACCACCACCACCACCACCACCACAAGCGCCAGCAGCAGCAGCAACAGCAGCAGCAGCAGGAGCAGAAGCAAAGGCATGAGTCTCAGCTTCCTGGAGAACCCTCACTGTGCCCAGAGCCTTGCCATGCACGTCCGTCCAAGGCACAACACTCCACTCCAGCCGCTCCCCCCCACCATATGCTGCCACCACTGCCGCTGCTCTCTCCCTCTCCTTACACCCGCTCTGCTGCTCCTCTCCACTCTCCCCGCCCTCAAACCCTGCACCGTTTGCCCCGTGGGGGCACAGCAGCAGCTGAACCCGCGCTTGTGCCGCTGCCTTAGCGGCTGCCTTGGCAGCAGATTTTATTGCAGACGGTGGTGACAAGGATGAGAGTGCGGGCACGAGTGAGGGGGCAGGAGAGGGGGCGAGACAGGGGGCGACAACAGTAGGGAGAGAGGGGCGGTAGGCGCGGGACCACTGGTGGAAGGCGAGAGGGAGCGGCGGAGAGAAGAAGTCATATCCATGTGTGAAGAGGCGCAGTGCCATTGAGAGCTCCTCCCCGAAGAAGAGGAAGGAGAGTGTGGGGTCGTAGGGCACCTGGCAGAGAGGGGGACAAGGGACAAGGAAGACATGGCGCATGGACAAGGCAGGGTGAAGGGGACAGATGGCGAGTGGGACAAATGGTGAATGGGACAAATGGTGAATGGGAAGGAATGAGTGCCGGGGTACGGGGGAGGAAAGGAGAAGAGGGGAGAGGGGGGTTATGACACAAGATTTTTGCTGTTCAGAAGAGAGAGCGGGAGCAAGGAGGCATGGAGGTATTTCTGTGTGCGCAGTGCATGGCACGGCACGATATGCTCATGGAAGATGAGATACCTCATGGATGACTGATGCGCGGGAGAAGGAGAAACCAGCAGCCCAGAACAGCGACGGCACAGGAGAGCCCCCACCCACCCCTCTCTCCTGGATCACCCCTCTCTCCTTCCTCTCTGTCTCTACCGCACCCTGTATTCCCGTCCTTTCTCTTCCATCTCCCTCTTTCGACCCTCCTTTCCCCGACCCTCCCTCTCCTCCAGCCCGTTCCCCTTTCCCCTCTTCAGCATCAGCAGGTCCCCCACTCCAGTCACTCTCCTCCTCCCCACCTTCCTTCTTTCTCCCACTACACACCCGCCTCCCTTTAATTCTCAGCATTCCGTCTCTCTCATTGAAATGGCTCGCGCACAGGAGAACGCAAGCAGCGGAGGCGTCTATAGGGGGGATGACGGCAGAAGCGCCCAGGCCGAAGTAACCAGGGGGGTAGGAGGAGAGGATGGGCTTGGGGGAGAGGCGGGAGGCGCGGGAGTGGAAGGCAAGGAGTTGGGTGTCCCATGCGGGTAGGAAGCGCATGTGAGAGTCGATCTGGGAAGATTCAGAGTCGGGCGGAATTTGGGGAGAGGGATTGAATGTGAAGAGAAGGAGGGACGGCGTGAGAGCAAACAGAAAAGAAATGCTGCTTCTCTGAGAGAGATGAGGATGGTGGAAAGACGAGAGGTGACATGCATGCTTGGTTATTGAGATTTCTCACAAGTCACGACCAATGCAAGGAGAAGAATGCATCGACCTATTGCCCGCCTGCCGCCCACCTGCTGCCCACCTGCTGCTCACCTGCCGCCCATCTGCCTCCCGCCTGCAATCCACCCACCTGGAGGTAGTACTCTTCGCTCTGCCACATGTGCTGAGCTATGGCCCTCGCCCAGCAGGGTCCCCTTGCCATGCATGCTGGTAGCACCACCTGTCTCAGATGGGAACATGGGAGGATGATAGCATGAGAACATGGAAGATCGGAGCATGGGAGCATGTGACAGCAAAGGCGGCGCTGCAACTGTGTAAGAACATGCATTCTTTCCACGGAGTGGGAATAGGCAGCGTGTGCAAGAAGCGTCAGCACGGGACGGGCATGTGAGGCTGTCAGTGGCACCCGCACCTGTCTTATCTGTGGGTGGTAGCAGGCCGGCAGGGAGGACAGCAGCGCTGCAGTGGTGACTGCACAGTCTTCCTCCTCGATCTAAGCTGAGAGGCACATGGGGTGAAGTGCGGTGAAGCGTGAGGAAGAGTGGTGAAAGGTGGTGAAGAACAGGGTGAGAGGATCAGCGGTAAGGGGAGAGGAGGGCACAGTGGAGACGACAGTAACGGGTACCACTTTACTGTGAACACAAATGTGCAATCAATGATGCGACCACCAGTCATGCTGTATGCCGTAAACTCAATATCCTGCAAGCCTTTTCAGTGGACTCAGGAATGGTCATCTCAGCATGTTCTCTCAACCAACCGTGTTTTCAGCCGACTCAATCAACACACGCCTCCAAACTTCTCAGTCGACTTAGGAATCTACCATGCATGCTGCTCGCCTTCCGGTTTTGAGGCGCCTCAAAACGAATCTACCATGCATGCTGCTCGCCTTCCCTCCCACCTGCCAAACAATGCCCACAGTGACCTGCTGCCACACAGCAGCGTTCTCCAGGAGGCTTCTGACCGTCCACACACACTCTGAGTCCCTGTAGCTCGCTATCGACACAAAGATGCGCTCCTTGCTTCCCTCCCCTGCGCTACCCTTCCCTGCTCTCTGCTCCCAACTTGTTTGAGGTTGCTTTTGAGAATTCTCAAAATCAACCTCCTTGCTTCCCTCCCCTGCGCTACCCTCCCCTGCTCTCTGCTCCCAACCTCCCCCTCTTTCACAACCCAAAGCACCCCCTCCATCCCTCGGCAACCCCCCTCGCCCCGCCATCTCCCCTCCTAGCCCCCTACTTCCTCCCCCCTGCACACGTCCCCCTTCCGCTGTGCGCTCCTCCTGTCCATGCGAGTGCTGCTGAGACGTCTCAAAACCTCCTAGCCCTCCACTTCCTCCCTCCTGCACCCCTGCCCCCTGCACGTTGTTCCCCTGCACGCCTGCCCCTGGCGCTGTGCACTCCTCCTGTCCATGCGAGTGGGGGCCATCTGTGCAGCTTACTCCCATTGGAACCGCCTCAGGAGTTTCCTGCTGTGCGAGCGGGGAGCAGCAGAACCAGAAGGTGAGGGAGAAGCGGTGGGCGTGCGAGGGCAGGACCTCGTGGGGTATATGACTGAGGAACAGCACCAGACGGTCTGCCAACGGCGCTATGTCCACACTGCACTCTTGCTCCTCCTCCCCTCCCTCCTCTCCCTCCTCTCCCTCCTCTCCCTCTTCCTCTCCCCTTTGGTGCTTCCCATCGCTGTTACCACCACCACCACCACCACCGCCACTGCCACCGCCACCGCCACCGCCACCGCCACCACCACCGCCACCAGCCCTGCATGCATGACCCATCCCTGTTCTAACAGCTGCTGCTGACGCTGCTTCTTCTGTTGCTTCTGCTGCTGCTCCTACAGCACCACCGTCCCCCACATGAGACGCGCGCGGCAGATACAGCCGCAGGTTGCCGCCCATGGAGGCGGGGTCCCAGGAAGGGTTGAGGTAGTAGAGAGCCGTCACCCGGCGGTGCGGGCTGGAAGGGGACCGATCCGTGTGCCGTGCGTACCGAGTGCCATTGCCCTGAGAGCAACCGGGGGGGGAGGGGGGGGAGGGGGGGAGGGGGGGCAGGGGGGGTAATACTATCAAACAAAACCGTTGATGTAGTAGAGAGAAGTTACCCTGCGGTGCGGGCTGGAAGGGGACCGGTCCGTGTGCCGCGCGTATCATGCGCCGTTGCCATGAGTGAGGGGTAGATAGAGGGGACGGGCGGATGAAGAGAAGAGGAGATTCTCACACGTTGTGACTTTTGAGTCGACTCAAAAGTCGGATGAAGAGAAGAGGAGATTCTCACACGTTGTGACTTTTGAGTCGACTCAAAAGTCGGATGAAGAGAAGAGGAGATTCTCACACGTTGTGACTTTTGAGTCGACTCAAAAGTCGGATGAAGAGAAGAGGAGATTCTCACACGTTGTGACTTTTGAGTCGACTCAAAAGTCGGATGAAGAGAAGAGGAGATTCTCACACGTTGTGACTTTTGAGTCGACTCAAAAGTCGGATGAAGAGAAGAGGAGATTCTCACACGTTGTGACTTTTGAGTCGACTCAAAAGTCGGATGAAGAGAAGAGGAGATTCTCACACGTTGTGACTTTTGAGTCGACTCAAAAGTCGGATGAAGAGAAGAGGAGATTCTCACACGTTGTGACTTTTGAGTCGACTCAAAAGTCGGATGAAGAGAAGAGGAGATTCTCACACGTTGTGACTTTTGAGTCGACTCAAAAGTCGGATGAAGAGAAGACGAGATTCTCACACGTTGTGACTTTTGAGTCGACTCAAAAGTCGGATGAAGAGAAGAGGAGATTCTCACACGTTGTGACTTTTGAGTCGACTCAAAAGTCGGATGAAGAGAAGAGGAGATTCTCACACGTTGTGACTTTTGAGTCGACTCAAAAGTCGGATGAAGAGAAGACGAGATTCTCACACGTTGTGACTTTTGAGTCGACTCAAAAGTCGGATGAAGAGAAGACGAGATTCTCACACGTTGTGACTTTTGAGTCGACTCAAAAGTCGGATGAAGAGAAGAGGAGATTCTCACACGTTGTGACTTTTGAGTCGACTCAAAAGTCGGATGAAGAGAAGAGGAGATTCTCACACGTTGTGACTTTTGAGTCGACTCAAAAGTCGGATGAAGAGAAGAGGAGATTCTCACACGTTGTGACTTTTGAGTCGACTCAAAAGTCGGATGAAGAGAAGACGAGATTCTCACACGTTGACTTGACAAAGAGTCACTCGGTGACAGGGGCTGACTTTTGAGGCGCCTAAAAAAATGCATCATGGTAGAGTTGACTTCTGAGGCGCCTCAAACGTCACTCTGCGGAGGAGCCTCAACAGTCACGCTGCGACAGCGGCTGGAAGGGAGCCTGTCCATGTGCCGTGCTGGAAGGGAGCCTGTCCATGTGCCGTGCTGGAAGGGAGCCTGTCCATGTGCCGTGCTGGAAGGGAGCCTGTCCATGTGCCGTGCTGGAGCCTGGAGGAAAACCCCTTTTCTTATCGCATGAAAAGCAGAAACGTGTGAGGGGTGACGGTGTATGGAGGTTCCAGGCACGTCGTGTGTGGGTTGTGCGGGGCGGGGCATGTGTGGTGTGTGGGGCGTGGGGGGCTTGTGTGGGGTGGGGTGGGGGATGTGAGGGGCGGGGAGCTTACAGGGTAGCATGCGAGTTGACAGGAGAACTTTCCCGAGACGTCCAGCGGACACGAGGGCGCAGGTAGAGGGGATGCAGATGCGCGTGCAGTGATCCTGGTAGCAGCACCCCCAGTATCTGCAGCAGCACCACCACTACCAGCAGCAGCACCAGCAGCAGCAGTATCATCCTCACCAGCAACAGCAGCAGCAGCAGGGTCAGCGGAAGCAGGAGGAGGCGAGTGCAGCAGGGGGCGCAGGGCAGCAACACGAGACACAATGCAGTGCAGGTGAGGATGAGTGTAGGGGGAGAACTGTTCTCTGGGCAGGGACGTGAGCCACACCAGCACATCGCCCCTCACACTCACGTCCACCTGCGGACCCCCCACCAGACTCATCTCCTCCCCTGCCCCTCCTCCTCCCCCTCCTCCTGCCCCTCCTCCTACCCCTCCTCCTGCCCCTCCTCCTGCCCCTCCTCCTGCTCCTGTTCCTGCTAGTGCTAGCGCCAGTGCTGCTGCTGCTGCTGCTGCTCCCTGCCCTCCGCCTATGCGTGCGGGTCGCATGCACTGCGCCGATCGCAGCTGCTCTGCCTCCGCCCTTGCTGCCACCGCCTGTGCGAGGGAAGGAGGGGAGAGGAGGGAAGTGGGAGGAGAAAGAAAGGAGGCTTTTGAGTCGACTCAAAGGTCACCCCCGCCTATGCGTGCTGGTCGCATGCAATGTGCCGATCGCAGCTGCTCCAACTCTGCTCTTGCTGCCACCGCCTGTGCGTGGGAGGGGAGGGGAGGGGAGGGGAGGGGAGGGGAGGGGAGCAGGAGCACAGGGAAGCGAAGGTGCAGGTGGGGTTTGAGGTGCAGGTCGCATGCAATGTGCCGATCGCAGCTGCTCTAATTCCGCCCTTGCTGCCACCGCCTGAGCGGGAGAGGGAAGGGGAGGGGAGGGGAGGGGAGGGGAGGGGAGAGGAGGGGAGGGGAGGGGAGGGGAGGGGAGGGGAGGGGAGGGGAGGGGAGGGAAGTGGGGGGACAGGGAAGGGAATGTGCGCTTGCACTAACACCAGGAGCAGGAACAGGAGTCCCTCTCGTCCTCTCACCTCGGCCATCCCCATGAAGCCATCCAGCACAGCATAGCCACGTGTCATCATCTCCGCCACTGCAGCCCTCACCCGCCGCTCCTCCTGATCCTGCTCCTCCCCTCTTTCCTCCGCATGCGCCCCCCCACCCGCACTCAATTGCTCTCCGCTACTCTCCCCACCCGCACTCAATTGCTCTCCGCTACTCTCCCCACCCGCACTCAATTGCTCTCCGCTACTCTCCCCACCCGCAGCAGCACTGACACTGGCACTACTACTACCGCTGCTGGTCAGAATGGAGATGGGCGCTGCGTGCTGCTGCTGCTGCTGCTGGGGAGCGGCGGCAGGCAGGGAGGGAGGAGGAGATGCGAGGAGCGAGAGGATGCGTAGCTGGATCGCGTTGGGCAGGTCGCTCATTCTCATCACGTCGCTGCTTGTGCTGGCAGAGTTGACCGCCTCTGCTGCACAATTCGCGTTGACCGCGTTGACCGGGCTACAAGCGTTGACCGTGTTGACCGCGCGCTCCGCGTTGATTGACCTCGCACTAGCTGCAACGGCTGCTTCGACAGGGCGGGAGGACGCTGCGGGAACGGGCGACGCCGCGAGCGCAGCCACCGCCGCTTCCGCGTCCCGTGGCGACGGCGCAGTTGCTGCTTCCGCGTCCGTCGGCGGCGCAGTTGCTGCTTCCGCGTCCGGCGGCGGGCGCGCTTCGCGCTGGTTCAGGGGTGGTACTAACGCCATTGACTTTCGAGAGTCGACTCAAGGGTCGCCGGTTGATTTGCGTTGGTGTTGCGGCCTCTTGAGAAAGGCTGATAGTAGCTGGTCCAAGCGATGCGACGAGAGTGCGACGAGGCGCGACGATATGCGACGAGAGACGACGAGACGCGCCGCGATGTGAGAGGTGTTTGGCAAGCGCAAGGCCTAGGGATGGAAAAATCCCAAACCAGATTCCCTGTTCCCTGGTTTTCGTACCGACGACATTGTTACTGGGTGGAACTTTTCGCGAATTTTCGTGACGCACAATGTCCAACTTTTGGTCCATGGTTTTTCCATACTGCCTTTGTAAACCCAGTTGCCCCTCCCGACGCATTCCCCTCCCACATTTCTTTCCACGAGCAGACAACGTAGGCTCACATAGTAAGCTGCCCGCGCGCGCTCCCCGCAATGCTCGCTCGCTCCGCCGCGCTGCCCTCTCTCCGCAGCAGCAGCAACACCAGCTTCGTCTCCGCGGTTCACCGCGCGTCGCGTTCCACCGCCGCTCTTCCCCCGCGGCCCCCGCTTCCCGCTCTTCCGCCTTCCTCGGTTGTACTCCCCACCGCTCTCTCACTGCTCGGTTCCGCGGCGGCGCGGTCACACCCTGCGACGCCTGCGATCGCATTTTCCGCCGCCGTCCGCCAGTTTCGTCGCTCAGCGTCGCAGAGCGTGCGTGCGATGGCGTCTGGCGACGAATCCGCGGGGCTGGTGGCGACCCACGGCGAGGACAGCTGCATCTTCTGCAAGGTGCGCATCGCAAGGGAGAGAAAAAAAAACCTTCAATCCACGCGGAATGCGCATCTTACGCCTCCCGTCTGGCGCACCATCAGATCCGCGACGGCAAGATCCCATCGCACAAGGTGTGGGCGGGAGGAGGCGGAGCACGCTCAACACTCGTGACACCCCACCCCACCCCACCCCATCCCATCCCATCCCATCCCTCACCTCCCTCACAGCATCCCCTCTAACCCTCACGTCTGTCTGCTCTCCCATCCCACACCACGACACCATCAGATTGTGGACGGCAAGATCCCGTCGCACAAGGTGTGGGAGACGGAGCACGCACTCGCCATCCTGGACGCCTTCCCCATGGCGCGCGGCCACACGCTCATAATCCCCAAGAAGCACATATCCCCCTCCGCCATCCCTCCGCCATTCCTCCGCCATCCCTCTCGTCATCCGGCCGCCATCCCTCCGCCATCCCTCCGCCATCCTTCCTCCATCCGTCCGCCATCTCTCCGCCATCTCTTAACCATCCCTCTGCCATTCCCCTCCCGGCTTGTTGTGACCTGCCTGTCTGCTTCATTGTTTGTGAATTGCTTTGCAGCCTCTCCCTTAACGTCTTTCTTATAACCGTTTTTCTCCTTAACACGTCTTCCCAAACTCTCTCCCCCCAACACTGCTCACCCGTCCCCTCTCTCCTTCTCTTCTCCAACGCCTCCCTTTCTTCTCTCCTTCTCTTCTTCCCTGGCACTACCGTTACTGGATCTCCCTCCTGCTTACCACCTCCGTCGTCACCACCCCATAACCACCCTGTGTTATGCACCGCATTGAACCACGCCACTATGCATTCATAGAGGATATGCCGGAGGAGGAGAGTGTGCAGCTGCTGAAGCTGCTGCCAGCGGTGTCCAAGGCCGTGCGCACCGCCACAGGCGCAGAGGGCGTCAACATCTTCCAGGTATGCACGCCTCTTCCACTGCCTTTTCCCAGGCGCCTTGCAACATGCACACACACACACAGAGGCACACACACAGAGGCACACACACATGCGCACACACACACACGCGCATGAGCTGCCCGCTGCTATGTATTCCATGCTGCTGCTCCCCATATATATCACATGCTCCTGCTCCCTGTGCGCCTTGCTGTCCCTCTATTTTGTTCAGCCACTCTCTTCTCCCTCGCACATCACTCTCTTCTCCCTCTCACATCACTCTCTTCTCCCTCGCACATCACTCTCTTCTCCCTCGCACATCACTCTCTTCTCCCTCGCACATCACTCTCTTCTCCCTCGCACATCACTCTCTTCTCCCTCGCACATCACTCTCCCTCCCCGCACACTGGGCAGAACAACGCTGGCCTGGCTAAACAGGTGGTCTTCCAAATGCACGTGCACACCACGTGCACACCACGTGCACACGTGCTGCAAGCGGGCATACCTTCCATTCACCGTGCTGTCCCTCTCTTTTCCGCGCTCCTTCTGCCACCCCCACCCCTGCCCCCTTCCTCTTCCCCCCTTCCCTGCATGACCACGTGGGGCAGAACAACGGGGGGGCGGCAGGGCAGGTGGTCTTCCACGTGCACGTGCATGTGCTGCCACGCACCGAAGCAGACGGTATGCACGCACGCCGCTTCCTCCCGCGTCTTCCTCCCCCTCATTTTGTTCAACGATTTGTTGTTCCTCTCCCCCACCCCTTTCTTCCCCTCCTTCCCTGCATTTCGTCCCTTTCTCTTCCTCTCTGCCTCTTCCTCCTCCCTGCCACACGCCCCTCCACTTTTTTACCGGCCTCCACTCCTCTGCATCGTGTTGGCCTCCTCCCATGCCGCTTCTCCTGCATGCATGCCCACCCACACACCTGCCCATCCACGTACCTCTAAAGCAATTGCCACGCGACACACTCTCCCCCATCCGCCTTTCGTGACACTGGAAGTTCCTGGCGCCTTTTTCTTGTGACCCTCTCTTGTGCCCCTGGTTGTCTCTGTGTTTGCTTGTGTGTGTGCAGGGCTGCTATCGTTTGGCAAGAGCGGGCCCATGATTGCAGCAGAGGAGGCCAAGGAGATCAAGGAGGCCATAGCTGCTGCTCTCCCTTCCAACCAGTGACTACATCCTTCCGTCATAAGATCTGTTCTTGTGTAAGGTTGACGTCTGCTTAGAAATATGTGCTGGTCACTCTCAGGGTCTTTGCTGGGGAACAGTGTAAGTTTTTTTGCAGGAGATTGGTATGATATTGTTGGTAGTTGCGATTTATTAACGTAATAATATGTTTTTGTCACGAAGTCGAAGATGTTGACTCTTCCTAATGAGTCGGATATGGAGCTCCTGTAGCCATTTGTTAGCTTAGAAGACACATGTGATTGTTTCTCATATGGTATGTCTCCACCCTATGCTGAACGGTATTATTGAGATATGGTTGCACCGCTGAAAACCGTAACATGGAGATATGGTTGCACCCGCATTCTCCGTTTGTCGCACGTTACCAGTACCTCCTCAGACCACTCGCAGTTGGAACACGCACTCTTTCACCTTCCCTCTTGTACACCCCACACGCCTGGCCTGGTTGTGGTTTCGGTGCTGTAGGAACCACTCGTCACCACAACCGGTACAGTGCAGTACAGTACTATACATTTGCAGCCAACACCACATCACACCACAAGTTTCAGATCTTGTACACATACGACTGTACATTATGAACTGTATGTGTTCCGCAGAGAGGAGAGATGACGAGACGCAAGTGTTTCGGGAGGAAATGAGACGAGGGCTGGGTTGCAGGGTCAGTCGGATACAATCGGTGCCCATTTCAAGAACACCAGATAGGCGGGCGGCATCAGCGTGAAACGTGGTAAGATTGTTTCGCCACATTCGCCCATGTCGCCACGGGCAAAAATGTGACAGTAATATGAAATTGCAACGTGAATCGAGTCAAGGGTTTTAATTTTGTAACCGGGTTAACTTCTCAGATGACAGGCAACCGTTGCTGTTTATGCACTGTAGATGTTTTTCTTCCTCAACTTGGTGACTGTACCCCGAAATCGGCAAAATGGTCAATTTAGTCACTCACGGGCAAAACGTTCGCGAGTGACTAAATTTCTAATTGGAAGGAGCAAATGTTTTGTCATAGGCTGAGCATCGACTGTACTGTATGATGCGAAGTGCTGCGTGTTGTCAATGTGTACACCATGTGAATTCGGTTATAATGAAGTCAAGATGGGAAAAGCACGGTTAATGGTGGTTACAGTAATTTTCGCTATGGTTAAATTAGGCAAATCGAAGATAACAATGTTTTCCACCAGTTCGGCAGAGTTCAGTGTAGCGAAAATCAGGGTGTAGATGATCTGTCATGCCCGATATGACCAGGGCTGTCGATATCCCTGGGGGCAGAACTTGAGGCCCTCAGCTGCTGAAATTCTGACCCTGATTTTCAGGGAGGTGACCAAATTTTTGCCCTTAACGGTCACGGGTGCAGGCCGAAGTGTAAACTTGAAATCTGGGCTCCAAAGTGTTGTGTACTTAACTAACCTAAACAACATCCTAGACAAGAAAATCACATACTTTTCACTGCTAACTACTCCAGTCAACCTGTATGTCACAACTTCCAACTACAACTACAGCTGCACTACCTACTGCATTTCTACTCATCTGCTGACTTCGACACTAGACACACACTAGACTGGATAGAAATCGAGTGAAACATCCTCCACCTAGCGCTCTATTGTGCAACTTTTATGGAAAGGGGGGGGGGGGGTTAGGGGAGGGGGGTGTTCCGCAAGATTTTGGGGGGGAGGTTCTGCGGAACCGAAAGTATATCTTAGATTCAGGGGACGGCCCAGATTGAGCACTAACGCGTCCGGGGAAGGGCTAAGCGATGCCCTTAACTGGCGCGGGTGCCAGTCGAATCAAACCCTTAAAATGGTCGAGCTGCGCCGAACATAATCCGGAATGTTCAGGGCATTAAGGGCAAATGCCCTTGAATCGACAGCCCTGGATATGACCCCTCAACTGTGCTCTGGTCGTGGCTGTGTCCCAGAAATTCGTTTTAATGCAGTTCACAATGGTTTGGTACGTTTTCGAGTGGTGATAAGATATGACCAGTCAGATCCGTTGCCTCAATGCAGTTTGCCAGCAACCACGAGGGAACCTGAAGTACAGCAGGATAGAGTTAAGTAAGCCTGGCAGCTTGCCCTCACTTTCAATGCGAAGAAAATGAGGAGATAATCTCGAGAAACACGACTTACATGTCACGCATAATCACCTACATCTAAATTGCCAATCAACTGTTTCGGCAGCCACATGTGACGCGAGGAGTCGACACCTCAGCTCGATCGTTCGCGGTTCAACTGGGCCTGTCGTTCCTAGGAAGGAGTGACGCCTGTAATCACAGCAGCAGCGTGATCACCAATACACTGTCTCACGACGATGGCGACGGTGACGGCGACGGTATTTAACGACAATGTGTCCCAGCAACGGCATACTTCTTCAAGGCCACCTGCTTTTCCACGAAGCTCTAGCGTCGGCAACGGTTTAACCGCACCGCAAGCTACTACAAGCGACCGTTTCTTACCGCATCATCTCTCATCGCATAACCTCTCCACCGCAACGCACCGCCGCCGACCCAGCGACGATCGCGTCGACGTCTCGATGCCTCTCACGCGTCGGTCGTCGCCAGGAGGTTGCGCGCCAGATGTGGCGGCACCCGCGCCGCGACCGCCATACGCGCTATCATCCAGTCCGTGCCGATCACGCCATCGCAAGTCGCTCTCTTTGGACGACTCGGTTGGGTCAGGCCGACCTGCTGTCACCGCCTTCCCCACCACTGCTGTTTCTGATGGTGGTGGTGATGGTGGTGCCATGGTTACTGATGCTGCTCTAATTGTGTGTGCTCCATTCTCGCCCAACAGAGCACCTGCAGAGGGCAGGTCGGCCAAGCGCCAGCACCAGCCACGGCAGCAGCAGCTGCGGCAGCAGTGCCTACAAAAGAATCATTATGAGCAGCAGCAGCAGCAGCAGCAGGGGAGGGAGGGACTGAGGCGGTGTGCTTCCTTGGAAGTGACTGCAGGAGGACTGGCAGGGAGCACACGCCGCACTCCCACCCCTGCTCCCGCTGCTGAAAGCATCTTGTCTCGCACTCATGTCCCTGCCACAGCGGCAGTAGCAGGGGAAAGCGAGGCGGAGGAGGAGGAAGGGGAGGATGAGGGGGAGGAGGAGGAGGCGGGTTCTTATGTGAGGCGCAAGCACAGTCGAAGGCCGAGAAGGAGGGGGAGCGCGAGAGAAGTGATGGATGGATTCGACGATTCCCTTTCCACGGTGGCTGCTGCTGTTGCTAGTAAAGCTGCTGCCACTGCTGCTGCAGCAATCGCTAGGGATGGTGCAGGCAGTGTCCGGGAAAATGCGAGTTTATCCAGCGAGCCTCTGCATTTGCAGTGGGGGGGAGAGGACTCAGCGCGATGGCTGGAGGAGCGTGTGGGTGGAAGCACAGATGCAGGTGCAGGGAGCAGCAGCAGCAGCAGCGGCGGCAAAATCAGCAGCAGGAGCTTTTCTGCGAGGATGTTTTTGGGAAGATCAAGCGTTAGTGCCGGTGGGGGTAGAGCTCCTAGCAGTCTGGCAAGCAGCCTTGGCTTTCGAAGCAGCAGCAGCAGCAGCAATGGCAGCAGCAGCAGCAGCAGCACCATCAGTCGATTCAGCAGTGCCAGTATAGGTGGTAGTGGTGGCCTTACTGCTGCTGCTGCTGCTGATGCTGCTGGTGGTGGTAGCAGGATAAGCATGGCGCAACTAATGGCTCGAAGCCCTAGCGAGAGCAGCATTCGTAAGCCCAGAGGAGAGGAAGGCAGGGATAGGAGTGGGACTAGTGGAGGCCTACACAACAGCAGCGGCGGCGGCGGCGGCAGCAGCAGCAGCAGCAGTGGCGGCAGCAGCGGCGGCAGCAGAGGCATTCGAAGGGAAGGTAGCGCGTATTGCTCCGCCCCATCAACTTCCTCCCCACCCCGCTCCTCTGCGCTGCTGCCACGCCAGGCGATGATATTCAGGCAGCAGCTTCGATGGGGAGGGACTGACGGAGGCCCGTGGGGACCAGGAGGAGGGCTAGGAGGGCGAGTGGCCTCGATTGGCAGTAGCAGTCGTGGGACCATGCCTTCCTCTCACATGGCCTCTCCATCTGCTGCTGCTGCTGTTGCCGCTGCTGCTGCTGCTGGTGCCGGTGCTGCTGCTGCTGGTGCCGGTGCTGCTGCTGCTGGTGCCGGTGCTGCTGCTGCTGCTGCTGCTGCAGCATGCGCTGGTGCGTCGCCGTTCACCTCTCTCTCCACTGCAAAGGGCCACCCGGTAGTCCGTGGATGCGTCATTTCCCCCAACCGCCTGCCATCACAATCACCACCAGCAGGAGGAAGAGCAGCAGCTGGTGGCCGTATCAACAGTGGATTTGAGGAAGAGAGCGGAGGTGGTAAGTTGGGAAGAGCCAGAACGGCTCCTCCTCGTTCCCAGCCTGTTGTCTCACCGCCTCGCCCCACAGCTCAAGTGGTGCTTGTCCCGAACGTGCTTCCGGACGTGAGCTCCAGGCTCGGCAGCACGAACCAGTGGCGGCGGTCTGGGCATGCGAACGGCGAGCGGCAGGGGCAGGAGAAGGGGAGTAAGGGGTGCGGTTTCTCAAGCCGGGGTTCGGAGCGGGAGAAGGAGCGGGAGCAGAGGCAGGGGCAGGGGCAGGGGCGGGGGCAGGTGCAAGGGCAAGAGCAGGAGCAGGAGCAGCAGAAGCAGCAGCGGCTGCTGCTGGCAGCGCGAAAGCAGCAAACACTGGAAGAATACTTCAACCGCAGTCAAGACTTTCTCCAGCGAAATATGAACCCTAAACAGCCCACTGGTCCCATTGTTTCTCCCGTGGGCAAGAAGAGGGGCGGTGGCATGGAGCGTAGTAGCAAGGAAGGGAGGAGAGGGGGTAAGAAGAAAGGGGGAGTAGAGTCGGAATGTGGTGTGGGGAGCAGGCGGCTAAGAGGGGAGGAGTGGGGTGAGGATTGGCAGAGAATGAGTGACCTGGTCAAGGAGGGGGGTTACAGAGGGGCAGGAGGGAGGAGGGCGGCAGGGGAGTGGAGGAGAGAGGGGTTGACAGGAACAGGGGAGTGGGGAAGGGTTGGGGGAGGAATTGACCGAGGGGGTGAGGGATGGGGTGAGGAGGAAGTGGGGAATGAAAGGGAAGGGGGAGTGGAAAGGGGAGTGGAAGTGGGAAGGGAAGTGGGAAGGGAAGTGGGAGGGGAAGTGGGAGGGGAAATGGGAGGGGAAGTGGGAGGGAGGCAAGGGCGGACAGGGTTGGCGATAGAAAGGGAGGCCTTGGGGAGGGCGGGTTGTGGCGAGGAGGAATTGGAGGGCGAGAAATGGAGGGCGAGGGGAAGGGGAAGCGGAAAGGGGAGGGGGAGGCGGAGAGGGGATGGGAGGGGTGATGATGTGCCTAATAGGGTTGCAGTGGTGGTGTGCGGGGGAAATGGGGAAAGGAGGTGGGAGGAACGCAAGTTTGTGGATGAACGAGGGAGGGATGTGGGGAAATGGCAAGGGGGGGCGGGAGGGGAAGGTGGTTGGGATGGGGAGAGAGAGTGGGCAGGGGTAGGGAGTGAGGGTGTGGATGAGGGGACTAAAGGGAGGGAAGGGGTTGAGAGAAATGGAGGGAGGAGTGATGGGAGGAGTGATGAGATGCTTGATGGGAAGAGTGGTGGTGAGGCGTGTTGGGTGTGTGGGTCATGTGACAAGTGGTGCAATGGTGATATGTGTGAGAGTGACACGAGAGGGTGTAGTAACAAGGATGGGACGGCATGCCAGGGAAAGATGGCAGTGGCGAGTGGGGTGCCTTGGTCTTGCTGTGAAGCAGAGAACAGTGAGGCGGGGAGGGGCAGCAAGGCGCGGATGGTGGGAGAGGAGCAGTGGGGAGAGCGTGGTGTTCAGGAGGGGGGATTATGGGATGTGGGAGGCGGGAGAGAGGCGGAGGAGGAGGAGGAGGAGGAGGAGGAGGAGGAGGAGGAGGAGGAGGAGGAGGAGGAGGAGGAGGAGGAGGAGGAGGAGGAGGAGGAGGAGGAGGAGGAGGAGGAGGCGGAGGAGGAAAAGGGAATGGAGTTTCTTCCATGGGGCATCCAGGCGGGTGGACAAGTGAGGGAGGAGTTGGAAGAAAAGCTGAGTGGTGTGGATTGGCTGTGTTTAGATGATAGGAAGGAGTGTAGCCGGGAGGGGTTTACCGGCATGTGGAGGGAAGAGGAGGGGGTAGAGGATGAGGAGGAGGAATTCGAGGAGGAGGGGGAGAGTGATGAAAATGGTGATGGTGAGAGAGGGGAGGAGGTTGAGGAGGAAGAAGGGGAGGATGCAGATCGTGAGAAGCCATGGGGCCAGATAGGATCCATGCACAGTGGGAATAGAGCTACTGGTTCGGAGAACTCTCAAAGAGAATTTGTAAGCGGTGGGGAGAGCGGGGACAGTAGGTGCTGTAGCAGCAGTAGGAGCATTAGTTGCAGTGAGAGCAGTGAGGAGAGTGAGGCGAGTGGAGATAGCGGGGACAGTGGAGCAGGCGATGCTGAAGGGAGAGGGGAGTGGAGGATGGTAGATGCTGTGGAGATGTTAGTACTGGATAATGGGGAGGATGCATGCTCGCGTGACAATGATGATGATAGTGATGGTGATGGTGATGGTGATGGTGATGGTGATGGTGATGGTGATGGTGCAGCAGATGGGGAAGCAGAGGGCGATGCTGATGCTTATGATGGTAAGGAGGAGGAACTTGATGGTGCATATCACGAAGCTGGCAGGGGGTTGGGCAGGCCTGGTTGGGGTACTGTGGGCGATCAGATGGGGGCAGGCTGTGCAGGAGTGGAGGACGCAGGTGGGGAGAAAGGGAGCAAGCGCAGGGAGCAAGGGAGCCGAGGTGGGAAAGAGAAGGGGAAGGCGAGGGAGGTGGAGTTTAAACATGCAAGGGAGTATGATCTGCTGAGGCTGCTTAGTGGGAGTAGCTGCAGCAGAGGGAGTGGGAGCGAGGGGGATGCACATTGGGAGGAGGAGGGGGTGGGGGGGTTGAGAGTCAAGGGTGGCGGGAGAGGAGTGCAAGGGATGGGGAGGGAGGGGAGAGGAGGAGGGAGGGGTAGTGGGGTAGAGGTGGATGTGCTGGTGGTGGAGTGTGAAGGGGAACGGCGGACGAGGGTTGGTGAGGGGGTTGCTGAGTGGGTGGCGCTTGGAGGGGAGACAGATGAGGAGGAGGAGGTGGAGGTGGAGGAGGAGGAGGAGGAGGAGGAGGAGGAGGAGGAGGAGGAGGAGGAGGAGGAGGAGGAGGAGGAGGAGGAGGAGGAGGAGGAGGAGGAGGAGGAGGAGGAGGAGGAGGAGGCGGAAGAGGAGGAGGAAGAGGAGGAGCAAAGTGAGGAAGCGGCAGCAGAAGAAGAGGGGGAGAGGGAGTGCCGTTGGGGGAGCAAAGTGGGTGATAACTCAGGAAATCGGTCATGCATCCCAAATGCGCTCCACACAGGGGCACAGCCCGCCATAACCAGTCACTCTCTGCTGCTGCGGAGAGTAATGGAGACATGTGCTGGTGCTGGTGCTGGTGCTGGTGCTGGTGCTGATGCTGGTGATGGTGATGGTGCTGGTGCTGCCAATGCAGTGTCTCGCACCCGCAGTGCAGACGTGCACACGGCACGGGGAGGGTGGCATGAGAGGCCATGCAGCGCACGTGTGTTTCCCAGCAGTAGAAGCACCAGCAGCCACGGGCCCCGGAATGGGTATTACAAGAGGAGTTGCAGTGGTTGCAGAAGCTCTGGAGGCAGAGGCTCGTTCCGAAGCTGCTATAGTCCAGGCTTGGACCCTGCTGGCGAATTTTGTCGCACTGCTACCTTTGCAGCAGCAGCATCAGAAACAGCTGGTGGTGATGATGCTGTTGGCAGTGGATATGGCGGCAGTGGATATGGTGGTGGTGGCGGTGGCGGTGGTGCTGGTTTTGCTGCAAGTGGTGGTGGTGATCGTGGGCCGAATGGCGCTGCAGAGATGCAAGAGGGGAGACACAGTGCGGAGCCGTACCCAGGCATGCTCTTGTTGCCACTCCTGCAGCGGTCATCCAGTGTGGCAAGCACCACACTCTCCAGATCAGCTCGAGGCACCGCCGATAGCCATAGCCCGGGTGGCAACGGCAGGAGCAGCAGAAGGGAGGGGGTGGGAGGAGTTAGAGGCTCGCCTGTGGCTTCTTCTCCCTCTGCCTCTGGTCGTGGCGGCTGCCTGGCAGACGTTTATCAGGGAGGGTGTGAGCGTGCAGGGGGGCGCTCTCTGCCTCTGCAGGAGTGCTCAGCAGGTTCTGTAAAAGAAAGTGGGCAATCAAGACCGAAATGCTCTGCTGCTGGCGCTGCTGCTGCTGGTGCTGCTGCTGGTGCTGCTGGTGCTGGTGGTGCTGGTGGTGGTGGTGGTGGTGGTGGTGGTGGTGGTGGTGCTGCTGCTGCTGATGGTGCTGGTGGTGGTGCTGGTGGTTGTGGTGGTGCTGGTGGTGGTGGTGGTGCTCAAACGCGTATCAGGCCAGCCACAGGAGACAGGGCTCGTGAGCGCTTGCTCCAGAAGCACATGCTGAGTCCAATAGGGGGGAGCTGGAACGAGCAACCCCGTAGTGTGGGTGACGCAAGTGATGCTGCTGCTACTGCTGCTGCTGGTGGTGCTTGTGCGGGTGGTGCTGCTGGTGCTGCTTCAAGACTGGGTCCCAGTGGAGGGGTAGGTGGGAGCAGGGAGAGGAAAGAGGGGGGTGGCAGAGGGCCGTGTGGCATGGACAGAGTGAGGCAGGGAGATAGGGTCAGGCAGCAAGGTGTGGGGCATGAAGGGAGCGTGCGGCATGAGGGGAGTTCGGTGGCTGGTGTTGGAGGGAGAGGGGTGACTGTGTCGAAAGGGCGAGTGACGGCTGCTTCTGCAATACGTCAGTTCAAGACGGAATCTGGTGCATGCGGTGGCTCATTCAACTCCCGCCGTATATTCCGCAAAGAGGGGCTGTGATGTGCTGTGTGCTCTTGCTGGGTGCTCATTCAACTACCATGGAAGTTACTGTACTCCCAACACCTTGCTTCAGGATATTGCTGTACAGGGATTCACCTCACCGCGCTCTGCCTCTGCGGCCGCTGCTGCCGCTGCTACTGTTGTACAGCAAGAAAGACATTGTGTCAAATCGCGGTAGACAAGTTGCAGTGAACGGTACCGGTTCGGTGACTGACTGGACTGAGGGAATGAGTACAACATCACACACATGTTTAGGGCGGTGTTGCCTGCTTGAATTGTGTGCTGAATTGTGCTCAACAGGGTTCTCGTTATCAGACCAATTTGGTCTGATGGTCTGCGTTTAAGACTGGTTTTTTTGTATTCATCTTAATCCTAAGATTTTGTGTTAGTTCTCATCTGATCAGCAAGATTTGACTTTTAAGTTCGTATGATTTTTTCAGACGTGTAGATTTTTTTATCTGAGGATACAGATAGCGAGTTCGCTTTCGTCTGAAACCGACAACTTGACCCACTAGGCCATAGGCCCAGTTGATCAGAGGACAGGACCACCACAGGTACAGCCGATTGCTGCCTTGTAACTGCACGCGCATTCATCACGCGTGTCTTATACAGCTCTGTAACTGCCTTGTGCAGCCTCGCTGTAGGCTGACTTGGTTTTTTTTTTCGTCTAGTTTATCAGACTAGGAAAAATATTTCAGCTTATACTGCAGACCACAAAAATTTCGTCGTCAAAGCCTAAGACGGGGAAAATGTTTTTGAGGGTACTGTCAGACAGGCCCTAAACCTAGCGAGAACCAGGCCCCACGTTATCAGGGCAAAACATCCTGATTACCCTGAATTCAGGATGTAGTTTTAAATTTACCCTGTCATTTCAGAATAGTGTAAATTTTAACCCTGAGGCCTCAGGATGTTTTTATATGAAATACCCTGAACATTCAGAATGGCTGTAGTGTTCTTCTCTGTAGCGTCAGGATGAATGCCGAGGCCTGCCCTGACGCGTTTTTTGGTGGGGGGGAGGGGGGGGGGGGGGTTGAGGGGGGAGTCCCGTGGCAAAATTGTCGGTAACCGCTGAATCAACCATCTGGACATTCAGAAATGGCCTAGGCAGTAGAAAGTTACTTCCGAGAGATAAGGTCTTCGGATCGAACCTCCCCCGTGTAGGCATGTCTGCAGCTTCAACCTGACTTGCCGACCAACTACACCCTCTTTCTCGCCATTTGTGAATTCGGTTATAATGAAGTCAAGATGGGAAAAGCATGGTTCACGGTGGTTCATTTTTGTTTTAGTATGGTTCAATTAGGCAAATCGAAGATAACAAGGTTTTGCACCTGTTCGGCACAGTTCAGTGTAGCGAGAAACAGGGTGTATTATGAACCCTGAACGCTTATATTTTTGCCCTGACAGGCCAGGATATTTTTTTGTAGAAGCCCTGAAATTACAGGAAGCCTCCGAAAAGTTGCTCTGACAAATTAGGGCATTTTTTCAGATTCTGGAAAGTTGCCCTGAGGCCTCAGGATGCCCCAAAACCTAGCACAGGCCCTGGCGAGAACCCTGGTGCTCAACCTGCTGTAATGTGCTGTGATTCCCCCAACTCTGGAAGTGTGGCGGTGGCCTCCTGGCTCCACTGCACAGCAGACATACGGTACGGTTGCATAAGAGCGCCATCCACCCCAATAGTGTACAATTAACGGATGTGAGTGAGGGCAGCTGGTGTCACCCGCGTCCTTCAATTGTATGGTAGTCGTACGGGTATCCGTACCGCATTGCCCGATCGTGTCCTCCCCCTCTCCGCCATTTACCTTCTAGCATGGTAACTTCGCAAGATGGCTTACACAAGCTTTCGCAATACACAATGTGATTACCTTTGCTTATAGAAATTGCGTCTTTTTAAAATTAGTAGCGTTAAAAGTGATCACAGTAGCGCGGATGTTTTCGGATGGTTCTTCAGCTTGTCCTCGCTTGGTGATCTAGCTTATCGATATGGAGCTGGATGGAGGGTGGTGCTGGATAGAAACGAGGCGATGTCAGGTTATACATTTCTCGCAGGTTTACAGTTCTTGTGTCGTGGTTCAAAACGATTTGAACTGGTGAGAAGCGGTTCTTTCTATTTACCGCTCTTCACCGTGTTGAAACGAAGTCAACCGCAGTGGACGTGCAAAAAGTTGTACAACCTGACGTCGCCCTTATTAGGCGGTGTTCGGCTGCCACAGGGGATGGAGGGAGGGGATGGGATGGAGCATCAGAACGCCGAGCCTCCTGGTTCGATCTGTTCGAACCAGGCAGAACACTTCGGTCAGACATGAAAATTGTGAAAAAAGTGTCGGACGTGAGCCTAAAACGCGACGCGAATCCCGCGCTAGGCTTGAACCCGCGTCGCGTCCTCCCCCCAATTCCCCCCCATGGCGGAAAAACTCCGCCCTAGTGTTCAGGGCATGGAAAGTGCATTCCCGTGGGTGGTCTCAGCCCACGGGGAATGAAAAATCCATGCCCCCTTCCACAATTTTCGTGTATACGTTTACTCCACACTCTAAAAAACAAACTACCCGGACATTGAAATTATAATGCTAAACACAAAGATTGGAAATGGACTCGCCAAAATTTACCAAGGTCAAATCGTCCATTTCACCCTTGAATTAATTAATGGTGTACAGAATTCAAGTGGAGCAAGCTATCCAAACAGACCGCAACAGTAAATTCGGGAAAACTGTTCAGCTCGCGAAGTTTCGTTTCGCGCGGCTGCAGTTTCGTGGGCTCCCATTTCCCGATTCGCTCCTCCGCGCCTTTTCCCCCAAACTTTCCGCTTCCGCCTGGACTCCAGACTTGGAGTCAACGACGGTTGACTCCGAGCTGACCACCCCGAACTAGAAACCCTAGCTGCAAATCTGATCCTTCCCCCCATCCCTCGGTCGATCCCCTGTGGCAGCCGAACATCGCCTTACTGAACCCCATTTCCAGCCAGTCGAAGTCATTTTGGCCATATCATCCCCGACACTCCCCCATGTTTGGCGCACACACAAACATACTGTACAGGTCCAAGCTGGGAAAGTGCGGGTGCGTCGGTGGCTCCGGCCCAGTCAAACCTCTCGCGACGGTTCCGAACCGACCGTCTGTCCGTTTGGGATCAAGGCCGCATCAGGGTTTCCTTCCGTCCCAGTTCCAATCAAGCCTCGTTTTTTAGGGTGTCTGTTCACGTTATACATTAACAGTTCAGCTTCGTGGCTCAGGACGGTTGTACATGATTGAAAGCGATTTAAGAGGCTAACTATTTTGCAACGCAAGGAACATACAGAAGGCACACGAGCAGCGGGACCCCTGGGCTGCTTCCCGAGCTTGGGTCTTCCAAACCAAACCTTCACGTTAGGTTTTCGGCCTGACCGGACGGGAGCCTCGGGTGCGCGCCCTGCCTCACACCACCATCCACACAAGCTGGACTGGACCTACGAACGCTATCTTATCCCTGTTGTCGGTAAAACGTGAGATGATTGGTCAGATCAGATGACCACTTGTCAGTGATTTATATGTCCCCGCAACTGCGCTGCGTGGAAGAGTCGTGCCGGCCTCACACCAGTTCCCCTCGCGTGCGTGGAAAAGTCATGACCTATTTACACGTCAGCTCGTGGATTAGTTTCCTATTCGGCGGACACGTATTCACAGTGTGGAAAGCTTTCCATGCCCTCGTGGAATGCCGCCCGGAAAAGGTACCCTCGTCGATCTTTATCCGATCCGCCGCACGGGTAACAACATGTCAGACAGCTGGAAGCAAGTGACGCGCGGCAACGAAGCATTTTCGGCACGGCAAGTGTACTGTAAAGCGACACCACTAGCATCTTTCACAAGTCGCACGTGATGATCACGCTGGCAGAAAGCTGGCGGCTTGCCGACTCGAAGCGACACGGTTCAGGCATACAGACCTTACGACAGGTGGGACGGGATCACGTTGGACGACAGATCGGTTTTTTTGGGGGGGGGGGGGAAGCTTATAAGTGAACCCAGGAGGAAATCTCGCCCCCTTTCCCAGGAGGATCGGACGGTAAAGGAAGACTGCAGATAAGATCAACACATTAACGCGATCACATCGGTTGACAGGTCGGACGGGCTTAGGTCCTCTTGCAACCACTGGCTCGCGACACCTCGGACGGGCAGATCACGTTATCGCCTTTGGACGAACCTTCCGAGGATTCCTGGCAGCCGCCGCGGCGCCGCGGTCCAGTAACAGGTCCAGTAACCTGCCAGTAACATGCGAGGCTGCTTGCGTAGGGATGTAGGGGAGCCGCCGCCGAGCCGAGCCGAGCCAAGCCGAGCCATCTTTGGCTCCCGAGCCTCTGTCAACCCGCTGCAGCAGCCACCTTAGCTCTCCCAAGTCGCAACGCGAGCATCCTGTACGCGCGCGCAGCCATGGAGATAAAGCGTCACTTCTTCCTCTCCCCTCCACCATCAACTTGATGCCAAGGGCTTGGCATTCCCAGCTACTCCCACTAGCCGGGCAGCAGCAGCAGCAGCAGCAGCAGGCACAGCCGTCCATGCCAAATGCTGACTACCAAGATGGCGCTAGTACAACGCGCCTTGCCTCTCTCAGGGGCCGCCGCGACTCCACTGCCTCGGCGCCCGCACATGGTGCTACTCCTCCTGCTTCTGCTCGTCTTCACCACGGCGACTACAACCACCATGGCTGACCCGCACCTGCCGCCGCCTTTACCGGAAGACTGCCAGCGCTTCGGCACCCGCTTCTGCAGCATCTTGCGGGCAGTATCCTCTCTGGCTTCGGGCAGAGGCCGTCGTCAGCATGGCGACTCTGGTAACCACCAGCGTGGCGAAACTGTTGACTCGCCGTGTCAGGAGGGCCCTCAACACGGGGGTGGCGAAAGCAACGAGACCAGCATTGACGTCGGCGGTCCCGGCAGTGATGTCAGCGGCCCCGGCGGCGACGGTCACGGCGTTCGCAGCAGCAGGCGGGCGGCATTGTCGCTGGTTGCGCCTCTGGCGCTGTGCTCGCCGTCGACCCTCTCAGGCTACACGTCGTCAGTCAGCCTCGGATCATAGTACGTACGCAACGCACTCACCACGCATCATCCATCCATCCCTCGCTCTCCAACGAGTCGTCCCTTAGTCCCTGTCCTCGGCCCTTTCGTCCCTCTCCTCCCTCTCCTCCCTCTCCTCCCTCTCCTCCCTCTCCTCCTCCCTCTGTCCTGACTTCCTCGTCCCTCCCTCCCCCGCCCCATGACCGTCTCTCTTCCACGCTCGCAGCATGAAGCTCCACTGGAAGACCACCACCACCACCACCATCCAGCTCGCAGTCACCGCGACAGGCGGCGCCGCCACGGGATGGTTCGGCATCGGCTTCGCACGGGACCTCAAGATGTATCCCGCAGACGCCGTCATCGGCAACCAGGCGGGCTCGCCGGTCCCCGTGGATACCTACAACATCTCCAGTTACTCCGCCGTCCGGCTCACCTCGGCGTTTACCATCGGCAGCAAGACGTTCGCCGCGTCCGGGACGACGGCCACGATGACGTTCACGCGGACTACCGGTGATGGGGGCGTGGCGCCCGTGCAGGTCGCGGGGTCGAACAAGATCATCTGGGCGTACTCCAGTAGCGGCTCCACCACCATTGCCAAGCACAACTACGAGTGCGTTCTGCTCTGCTCCTCTCTCCCTCTTTTTCTCACTCTCTCTCTCTCTCTCTCTCTCTCTCTCTCTCTCTCTCTCTCTCTCTCTCTCTCTCTCTCTCTCAAATGGTCCTTTGTATTAATTCAGCAGGGGGTACAGGCATGCAATTTTTCTCTCTCTCTCTTTCTCTCTCTCTCCCTCTCTCTTTCTCCCTAACTTTCTCTCTCGCCCTCTCTTTCTCCCTAACTCTTTCTCTTTCTCCCTCCCCCCCCCCCCCTCTCTCTCTCTCTCTCTCTCTCTCTCTCTCTCTCTCTCTCTCTCTCTCTCTCTCTCTCTTTCTCAAATGGTCCGTTGTATTGATTCAGCAGGGGTACAGACATGCAGTTTGATTCAAGATACCCTTAGTCCCTCTGGCCCTCTGACCCATCCCTCTGAACCCCCCCCCCCCCCCCCCCCGCTTAGTGACCCTCTACCCCTCCAGCGTATGGAGGATCTCTCTCTCTCTCTCTCTCTCTCTCTCTCTCTCTCTCTCTCTCTCTCTCTCTCTCTCTCTCTCTCGCCATGGTATTTACCTTGCTCCTCCCGTTTCCCCTACCTCTTGCCTCGCCTCCTTCTTTCCCCACCCCCGTGTCCATCCACCTCTCTCTCCAGTGGAATGACCACCGTCGACTTCTCCTGCAATGGCTCCCCCTCATCTCCGCCCCCTCCTTCGCCTTCGCCTCCGCCCCCGCCTTCTCCGCCCCTTCCTTCGCCTCTGCCTCCCCCTAGGCCCCCACCCCCCCCCTTCACCTCCGCCTCCCCCTAGGCCCCCACCCCCCCCTTCACCTCCCCCTCCGCCCTCGCCCCCAAAACCCCCCTCGCCTCCGCCTCCCCCTTCGCCCCCACCCCCACCCTCGCCTCCGCCTCCCCCTAGCCCTCCACCCCCGCCTTCGCCTCCCCCTCCGCCCTCGCCCCCAACCCCCCCCTCGCCTCCGCCCCCCCCTTCGCCCCCACCCCCACCCTCGCCTCCGCCTCCCCCTTCACCCCCACCCCCACCCTCGCCTCCGCCCCCCCCTAGCCCTCCACCCCCCCCTTCGCCTCCCCCCCCGCCCTCGCCCCCAAACCCCCCCTCGCCCCCGCCTCCCCCTTCGCCCCCACCCCCACCCTCGCCTCCGCCCCCCCCTAGCCCTCCGCCACCCCCTAGCCCTCCACCCCCCCCTTCGCCTCCCCCCCCGCCCTCGCCCCCAAACCCCCCCTCGCCTCCGCCGCCGCCCTCCGCCCCACCCCCCCCCTCGCCCCCACCCCCACCTTCTCCCTCTCCGCCTCCCTCTCCCCCTCCCTCTCCTCCCCCTCCCTCTCCCCCTCCCTCTCCTCCCCCTCCCTCTCCCCCCACAGGCGGATCTGTGCCAACCACGAGCGTCTCTCCCCCTCCTGACTCCTCCCCTCCCCCTCCTGATTCCTCCCCTCCCCCTCCTGTCTCCTCCCCTCCCCCTCCTGACTCCTCCCCTCCCCCTCCTGTCTCTTCCCCTCCCCCTCCTGTCTCCTCCCCTCCCCCTCCTGACTCCTCCCCTCCCCCTCCTGTCTCTTCCCCTCCCCCTCCTGTCTCCTCCCCTCCCCCTCCTGTCTCCTCCCCTCCACCTCCTGACTCCTCCCCTCCCCCTCCTGTCTCCTCCCCTCCCCCTCCCACCATCGCCTCTCCCCCTCCTCCCATTCTTCCCAACGGCGGTAACGTTGACTTGTCTCCTCCCCCCGCCACCGCCTCTCCCCCTCCTTCCCCTTCGCCTCCGCCCCCTTCTCCATTCGCCACGGGTAAAGCCTGCCCCGTATCCACCCTGCCTGGATACTCCTATCAGCTTGCCCTGCTCCCGCCCAAGTGAGTCCCTGCTGTTGCACCTTTGCCCATGCCATTCTGTTACTGCCCATGCCATTCTGCTACTGCCCATGCCATTCTGCTACTGCCCGTCTTGCTCCTGACCACGCCAACCACTCTACCACCCTTTCTCCGCTAACTCCCTCCTCTCCCTCCCATACTCCCCTCTCCTCCCGTTCCCCACCCTCATCCTCCACTGTACGCGAGACGCATTCCTTGAGCCTTCTCAAAAATCGTCTAACCTCTTCTCTCCCTCTCCCCCCCCCTCTCCTCCCCCTCTCCTCCCGTCCTCTCCAGCCTCATCCTGCACTGGAACCCCGTATCATCCAAGCAAGTGGACATGGCAATAGAAGCCAAGGCGCCAGGCAAGGCCAGGACGGGATGGATATCTGTGGGGTGGTCTTCCAAGGGAGCTATGGTACCTGCAGATGCTGTGGTTGGGAACCTGCCTGGTGGCCGTGTTGTGCCGTATGCCATCAAGGGGTATCGCACGTCCAAGCTGCTGCCCACTACAGCGTTCAGTGTTTACAATGCGTCCACCACCATGAGTGCTGATACTTCAACTATTATCAGGTGAGCTGCTGCTGCTGCTGCTGCTGCTGCTGCTGCTGCTGCTGCTGCTGTTGTTACTGATCTGGTCCTGTCCCATCTGTACACGGACCACCCACCCTCCCTGCAGGTTCTCCCGTGTGAAAGGCACGGGTGTGTCTGCCAAGTTTAACCCAACAGGCGTATCAAAGCTTATCTGGGCCTTCTCCTGCACTGGCAACAAACGCCTCAGCTTCCACGACAACAACTTGTGTGCACACATGCCCTCACATGCCCCTCTCACATGCGCCCCTCACATCCCCTTACATGCCCCTCACATGCCCCTCACATTGCCTGTACATGTCCTTAGCTCGCCTTGCACGTTCCCTTGCAGATGCTCTTAGTTGGCCTTTCTCGAATGTCATTTGCTCTGCGATGCTCCCACCTTCCATGCATCTCATCTCCGATACCCTACTCTGTTTGTCGTGGTCTTGATGCTTGGTGCTTGGTGCTTGCAGTGGAACTGCAAAGGTGGACTTCTCCTGCCGCACTGCACCGTCCAGTCAGCCTTCCCTGGACTACCAGGAGGAAGAGGACTACTAGAATTCACGAGAATTAAGATGAAGTGACACCTGTTTGCAGTCTCTCCGCTCTTATCAGGGTCATTCTGATGTGCTGTAGTGTTGTACCATATGTGTTTGCTGTATGTGTTTTGATTAAACAACCAAGTTACGCAAAAGTCCTGGCTAAAAAAACACGAGCAGCACTACCGTATTGATCAGTGCGAACCATGCATACACTTACCGTATGCATTTACAACTCACAAATAACAATTTTCTTCTCGTTAACATTCACGTGAAAATTTGCCCATGCTTGGTTACCAAACATGTGAAATGAGTTACGGTAACAAACGCGTGAAGCGTGTCACCAAACCCGTGAAAACTCAATGTAACAGACACCTCGAGCCCCATTTTTGTCACGGTACCATACGCATACCGTATACTCCCGGACAAAACACCCCCCCATACTGGTAATTGTACACCCCCGGGTAGCTTGTGCGGGGTGGGTGTTATGATATGTTGGGAATAATAAGTCCTAAAGCGCCTCTGTCGTGTCGAAACTCAGGACACTAGCGAAGCAGTCCGAATTGAAGCATCGCGAGTCAACCCTCGGAGGTTGAGGTAACCGCCTGGAGGTTACACGAAGGTCAAAGGTCAGCGACCTTTGACTTGACAAAACAGCGCGACAGCAAGGACACACAACTGACTCGACATTGAGCAGTTGCCCGAGTCGCACTGTATCGAATCGCAACAGCAAAAACAGTTTAGTTATATCTATTCGTATTCCTTGTACTCTTATATAAAGCCTTGTATTTTGCTTGTTTTAATTAACTTACTATGCCCTCACATACTAGCGCAAGGTGGTTCAAGGACTTTCATTCAACGCTTCCGCTATTACAATTCTACTCAGACTTGAACTCTACAAAGATCCTAGGGCACCTCAGCCCAACATGGTATGAGAGCGGTTAGAGTTTAAAAATTTATTTTTTCTCTCAACACTCAATACAAAGAAAGAAGACATGTCTACTAGGAAGGAGAGGAGCTCCTCCAACGGCTCTCCAGGCACTACTCCTACTCCACCTCCTGTCTCTGGTCTACAGACAGAGGAAGGGACTACTACGAGACCAGCAGCTGGGTCTACGGAAACGCCCGCAGGCTTCGATCCAAGCATGATGGAGAAGTTCTTCTCCTTCATGTCCTTCTACGAGCAGCACCAGCAAGGAGTACCTGCGCAGTCAAACAACAGCAACAACAACAACGTGACTCCTATGAGTCTCGACGGCTCATCCTACGCACGCGGGATTCAACAACAACAACAGCAGCCTACCTTTGCGCCGTACGAGCCCCAGCGTGGCTCCGTCAGCTTCATGCCGCAACCGCAATCTGCACCGGGACAAGAAAAGGCATTGGACGCATTACAAGTTCAGTCACAATTCGCGCACGTCCTAAAGCTGCAAACGACAAAGCCTTTCGACGGCAAAGACTTCTTCACCTGGTCATTCGAGTTCGAGTTGATGATGGAAGGAGCACAGATTCTCGGCTTCTTCGACGGGTCCCTGCCATATCCAACAAACGGGACACAATATGAGAAGCAGCAGTACACCTATCAATCAATGATGGCGTACACGATACTGCTAAGAAACATCACCCCGACCCAACAGCAGAACATCAGGAATTACGTGTCAGATGATTATATTACTAATGCATATATTTAGGCTGTAGTGGGGTAGCCCATAGGGGGTACAACCCAATTAGGGTTGGTACTTGTACTTGTTTCATTTCATAGTGCACTCATTCCTCGCCTCTATCTTAACATGGTATCGAGCAGGTTCCCTAGTGGGAACTGTTCCTAGGGCCCACCTACTATTCCGTCCTGCCCGGAGCGCGCTCTGCCCTAGCCCGAGTCGCGCTGGGCCTTTTTTTTCCTTTGGCGGCCTGATCGCGTCGAGCCGCCCGCGATTTTTTTTGGCGCGCCACCTACGCGGCCTCGTCGCGCCGCCCCTAGACGGCCGCGCCGCGTCGCGCGTGCCGCCCTCCAGTCGCGCGCCGCCCCCTCTGACCCTCGCGACGCCGGCGCCGTCTCTGACGGCCCCGCGATCGCCTGCGACGGCCCCGCCGTCCCCTCTACCGGCCCCTCCACTGCACTTGACGGCCCCGGCGTCCACTCTGCCGGCCCCGCCGCTGCACTTGACGGCCCCGCCGTCCCCTCTGACGGCCCCGCTGTCCCCTCTGCCGGCCCCGCCGCTGCTTCAGACGGCCCCGCCGCTGCACCTGACGGCCCCGCCGTCCCCTCTGACGGCCCCGCCACTGCACCTAACGGCCCCGCCGTCCCCTCTGACGGCCCCGCCACTGCACCTACCGGCCCCGCCGCCTCATCTGCAGGCCCCGCCGTCTCACCTGCCGGCCCCGCTGCTGTACCTGACGGCCCCGCCGCTTCACCTACCGGCCCCGCCACTACCCCTAACGGCCCCGCAGCTGCATCTCCCGGCCTCGCCGCCCCAGCAACTGCGCCGCCCCAGCAGCCGAGCCGCCCCAGCAGCTGAGCCGCCCCAGCAACCGAGCCGCCCCAGCAGCCGAGCCGCCCCAGCAGCCGAGCCGCCCGAGCCGCCGAGCCGCCCGAGCCGCCCAGCAGCCGAGTCGCCGAGCCGCCCGAGCCGCCCGAGCCGCCCGAGCCGTCTGCACTGCCCTGTCTGGTGAGCACTGAGCTTTACTCTGCGTACTGCCCTCACCCTACTGCTGTCATGGCTACCCCCAGTGTCCTCACCTTCGACGCTGAGGGCAGAGCCATCGACTTTGACGTGTGGGTAGACGACCTGCTGCTTTTCCTACAGTGCGACAGAGCTGACGGCCTCTCTCTCTTTGATCTCACTTCTGGTGCCTCTCCCGCCCCTGCTGCTACTGAGGATGCCACTGTTTGCTCAGTGTGGGCCACACGCGATGCTGCTGCACGTCTTGCTGTGCGTCGCCACCTCCCTCCCTCTGAGCGTGCACACTTTGGGTCGTACAAGAGTGCTCAGACCTTGTACGACGCCGTTATTGCACGCTACTCCACCCCTGCCACTGCTGCACTGAGCCGCCTCATGCTATCGTACCTCTTTCCCGACCTTGCTTCCTTTGCCACAGTCGCCGACCTCATTACCCACCTGCGCACTAGTGACGCTCGCTTCCACGCTGCGCTTCCTGCTGAGTTCTGCGCCAAGAACCCCCCCCCCCAATACTTCACTCTCTACTACATTGTCGCCCGCCTCCCTGACTCCCTTCGCGGAGTCAGGGACGACTTACTCTCAGTCTGCCCCACCACTCTCACTGTTGACCTCCTCGAGAAGTCCCTCCTAGCAGCCGAGAAGAGCATTCTCACTGTAGGGGCCTCTCGTGGTGACCCGCGCACCCCCATCTTTGAGGGGTGTTCCCCCTCCCCCCTCCTGCCCTCTGTCGCCTCTGCTGCTACGGCCGACCTAGTTGGTTTTGAGTCGGTCGGCGCGGCGTCTGCCCCCAGTGGGAGACGTCGCTCTGGCAAGGGCAAGGGGGGCAGGAGCGGTGGTGGCGGCGGCGGGGGCGGTGGAGGCGGCGGTGGAGGCAGCGGAGGAGGTGGGGGTGGTAGCGGGAGTGGTGGCGGGAGTGGAGGTGTCAGCGGCGGCAGTGGAGGCGGGGGTGGCAGCGGCAGTGGTGGAGGGAGTGGAGGTGGAGGCGGCGGTGGCGGCAGCGACGGTGGGAGTGGCGGTGGCAGCGGAGGTGGTGGCGGCGGCGGCGGAGGAGGCGGCGGAGGAGGTCGTGGCTCGTCGCAGAGGAGTGGCTCCCGTGGCGGTCAGCGCCAGCAGCAGCGGCAGCAGCGTGGTCAGGACACCCTCTCCCCACAGCAGCTCCGTGAGTGGTACACTGCACGTCAGAGGGGTGGGGGTACTGGTCCGTGCACCTACGTCTTGCGCACTGGCGACCGTGCGGGTGAGCCGTGTGGTGGTCCACACTCCGCCCAGCGCTGCTTGGGCCGCCTGACTGACGCTTGGCGCCGCCAGTTTCCTGACGCCTCTGAGATCCCTCGCTGGGACTAGCTGTCTAGGGCAGGAGTAGCTATCTTTGATCTTGACTTTGATGCTATTCTTGCTGCCATGTATGCTGTGACTATTAGTGAGGAGGGTGACTGTTACCGGTGTTTCCTGCCCGACCCAGGCATTGGTACTGCGGCTCTAGGTGCTGTTGAGGCTACTGCTCCAGGTGCTGGTGAGGCTGTCGCTCTAGGTGCCAGTGCGTCTGTGTCCTCAGGTGCTGGTGAGTCTGCTCTCTCAGGTACTGCGTCGGCTCCCCCCTCTCTCACCTTCACTCTTGACTCAGGGGCGTCTCGCTCCTTCTTTCGGGACCGCACCACACTCACACCGCTTAGTCGGCCAGTGGCGGTCTCCCTGGCGGACCCCTCTGGGGGTCGTGTTCTGGCTCGCTACTCCACTGTCCTGCCGTGCCCTGCGGTCCCGTCTGGCGCCCTGTCCGGTCTCTACCTCCCCTCGTTCTCTACGAACTTGGTGGCGCGTGCTGACCTACAGGATGCAGGGGTCGACCAGTTCACCCCTGCACGCCGACGGGACACCCACTGCACGGACGCGGACACGGGTCGACACTTGACCACGTTCACACGTGGGCCGGGGTCGAGCCTGTACACACTCACTGTTCCGTCTCCTCCTCCTGCGTCTGGTCAGGTAGCTGCGTCGGGTCAGGTGTTTGCTGCAGCGTCCAGGTCTGGTGCTGAGTCTGCCCCCTGCTCGTGTCGCCTCCTGTCCCACGAGACCCTCCTGTGGCACCACAGGATGGGTCACCCCTCCCTGCCTCGTCTCCGGGGCATGGCCTCTCGCCTTCTTGTCTCTGGCCTTCCCCGGTCCCTCCCTCCCCTTCCTCCGGGGCCTGGCCCTCCCTGTGTCCCCTGTGTCGAGGGTCGCCTGCGGGCTACCCCTCACTCCTCCCCGTTTCCTCCGACGGAGGCCCCGATGCAGACGCTTCACATGGACGTGTGGGGCCCAGCCCGCGTCCGTGGACAGGGTCACGAGCGCTACTTCC